TCACAAACCATATTAATCCGCTGACATTTCTGAGTCATAAAACATGGACAAATTCTGAGCCAACAAAGGTATCTAAAACGGCAAACCTGTCATTCATCAGTTCATGCCCAGTTAATACTAAAATGGGTATTAACTATAGTTTTTCAACAGCGTCATTGAGCATTCTCATGGTTTAACACGTGCGTCATGTGATAGATACAATTTATGAATCTGTTAACGAAAATGCCCGTCGACAAAGGGATTATGATTTTTCTTAGATAGAGTTGTTTTCTCATGATCACCTTTATCTAACGTTGGTGACTTCAGGAACTTTTTTAGATTGTGTTTCTATAGTAATTAGCTTAGAACGTTGAGTCTAATTGGATGTTTGGTGACACAACCATTCGTAGAAATCATCAGTGTAAGCAGCCAAACAAATTTCCCGCGAACTGAAAGCACGGTTGTTCAGTTCACTCCAACATGGTCTAATATTCAGAACATTATCATAGACATGGGTTACGAGTTGTGATCTCCTTGATCACCACTTATGCCATTCCTAACAATGATGTCGAAATCAATCACTATTTATCATCTTGCAAAGACTGATTTAGCTGAGAACATCGTGCAAGATCGCGTCACTGACATTCGTGGAATATAGGCTTTGTCAAATTCAAGAACTTACAATCACTCCGTTTAAAATTAGCTGATTTCTAATGCATCCCAAACTTGATATTTCCAGTTACCTCGGATCCACCAAGTACGAGTATGAATAATTGGTCTATAGCACATCGAAAGACTGAGTTTGGGTGTCTCTTGAGAATGCAATTCTGTTAAAATATTTGCTTCCAGTCTTATCTGAAATACGTAACAACATACATTTCGACATCACTGTATATGTATTGGAGGCAACACTAAATCCTGTCACGGTTAAGCAGTGATGAGATCGAGCAATTCTTTCCGTAAATAAATGAGCAGTATTAGAGTTGGGGGCACGGTTAACGTGAATTCGATTTTTAATTAGTTTTTGTTATTGTCTGCATAAATTGTACGATCACTGACCGTAAAATTGTTGTTTTAAAAGTTTGACTTTGACCTTTCGTCCCCGTTTTGTACTCTAGTGGCATGACACACCCATTACCGCTTTCAAATACACTACTGCGCGAACAAACTTCTTGTTCTCCCTTATCAGTTGTCGCAATAACAGAACTCTAATATATTGTCTATCTACGTTTGTAGATAACACGAACATCCTCATTGCAATATTATTCTGGAAACACACATTGGATTATATCAATCATATTTAGGATCGGCGTTACTTATAATTATGGATTGCGAGGACTAAAACGAGCTCAGACACGTTTTCCTCTAACATTTCATGTAACGTTCCATGCTTTCCTTTGTGCTTGACTTATATTTTGATATACCATTAGTTGTCACTACTTTTTTGCAGTAAATTTTTAATTATTTTGGAATTGATATATTTGGTCCAACACGAACTTCACAAACTAGCCTGATGCTTAGTGAGAATTTTTTCCCCCGTAATCACATTTAAGTTCCTTTGGTTCGTCCACTAGTGAAGACGTATTTGAAAATCCATGTAAGCGGAAGATATACTAGCATTACCATCCCTTGGCTTTATGAATTAAATCAATTGAAGTCATAATATCAACATTCCTAGCAAATTGACTTTTTCTATCTGAATATGATTAATTTGAAAATAAAATACAGGTGCTGTTCATAAGTAAAACTGTTGACCACAGGTTATTGCTCTACCTTTCGATGTGAATTATTAGACTAAATATTTAATAAATCATTCTTCAACATCACGATTCCGATTCTTAAAAGTCGAATAGTCTGTACGTAAGTTCAAACTATGTGCTGGTTAAGAATTGAACAAAACATTTCAGAACCACTACATATACTTGTAGTGACTCACGTTTATCACGAGAACACGACTGGTTTAATAAAAACAATTATTATTATAACCAACTGTACCGGTGTGTGTTTTAACGTGCTTTTGTTTGACTGTGCTAATGACAGCTATCTTGTGCTTCCATTTTTTACACACACTTCGATTGTAACTTCGCGCGAATTCGGTTACCTTCTGTAACCAAGGTTGTATCCTGGCACGATCTCGGTATCCTTTCGATGCCACGAGATCGCCAGCAAATATACACCTCGACTTGGTCCATTAACTGCCTTCTGATATTTGGCTTCTCGGAGATTTTATGGATCTATTTGGTTACGTCCAACCTTCGCCTTCTGATCTATTTGGCACGTGTTTCTTGGTAGCGGTGTTCATAGTTAATCACAACTCGACGCCACGCTACATACTTCCCGGTCAGTTGCCACCTCCTTATTTTTGGTTTATTTCTTAGTCTATCGATTCCAGGAGGATTCTCAGTGATTTATTAGTGACATCTTGCGTGGAGTTATCCCATATGGTTTGGAATCATGTCAACCTCAAGTTCCTTATGATGGGAGAGTAATTTAGCAGTAGTGGTTCCTAACAACATGATTCTGGAAGATGAAATAAACAGTGACTGAGTAAACTTACATGAGCAACTGTACATTCTGAGGTTAGAAAAGATAGATATGGGAACAATAAATCGAAACATAACATTTTTGTCAAGCAGGCGTGGTCACTCCGTGACACCTGATGTCTTGCATATTCAAAATATTATTCTATCCTCACCCTGAATGCGTTCTTCATGGGCTCATAAAAATCTCACTACTGACCATCATGTAGGACGAGTCAGTATAGACAGTGATGTGGCTTCTGTGTCAAATCTGAAATTTACAGGCTACCTAATATCATAAGGGCTTGTACATGCGGAATGATAAAACCCAAGAGATTGTTCTGGATGAAATCCAAATGAACCAGAAAAGAAAACATGCATAGGAAGTTCATACAACGCAAGAAACTGTGTACGACGGCACTCAGAAAAAGCAGATACTAGCAGCAAATTAAGCCAGTCGACAGATCTGTCTCCAATATATAAAGCTAATTCTATTATCCGGTCCCACTTCGACAAGTTCAAACCAGAGTTTCTCAGATGATACGTCCTGTTTGTCTGAACAACGACGACAGTAAAATTGTAGACTTTGTGAGAAAACAGTGCTTTCAAAGGTTCCGACCGTAGCCTTTAACCCACACCAATGAAACTCTCTGGTAAGGACCAAACGGACCGCCCACCAGCACTCTCCACTCAAATCTGTCCTGGACAATCCTTTCCGGTTCTTTCTAGTTGTTATTCATCCTTTTCATATCTGATCCTATTTCCCGACGTAATGTGTTATCCCGCCTTCCTCTTTTCCGCTTCTCTTCAGGATTCCAAGTTAACCCTTGCCTCTTGATGCAGTTTGATTAGTTTCGTAATGTATGTCCTATCCACTTCGAACGTCTTTTCATAATCTCCTCTTCAGTTGGAATCTGGTTTGCTCTCTTCCGTAGCAGAATGTTGCTGATGGTTTACAGTCAACGGACATTAGTATCTTTCGTAGACAATTGTTTATAAATACTTGTACCTTTTTGGTGATGAAGTTTTAGCTGCATACAGTAAAACTGTGTTGGCGCTGGTATTGAAAATCGTGACTTTGGTACAGTGACACGGTCATATAAATCTGTATTCTATTGGCAATTCAGTCACATCACATATTAACAGGCCCGGTGGACATAACGATGATAACGCTAACTTATTCCATCGTTGATGGAGTAACATCTATGAGGAGGCCTCAGTGTGTTGCCGCGATGTCCGGTGGGTTCAGTGGGGCTGGTCTACTCAAAGTGTTCCGCCCACCTATTCCTATAATCTTGAATCTCAGTGATTGAACTCTCGTAAGTAAACCTAAGTACTGGTCTGTTGCAGCGCAAGTCAGTGAATCTCTAGTCTTAGGTAGATTAGAAGCTATTTAGTATTCATTAACTTTCACTTTAACAGCACAATTTCAGGAAGGATCATCCCCTAGATAATGTAGCTGCAGATCGTATAATATATGTGTCACTATCCTTGATCATACAGGGAAGGTGGACATATTATGTCTCGACGTCTTATGAGCTTTAGATACAGTTGACCATCCTGTCGATAAGCTCAAAGTGACATGCTATTAGCCTCTGTTAGGTCAATGTAAATCATTGATTTTCACAAATTATAGAGAGTTGTTATGGGGCCACATAATATTCAGTTCTGCTGCCTCTTCCGACCAATTTAAGTCAATGACTCTCCTCAGCTGATAACTCCTGAGACATTTCTTTTCTGTGATTGTATTAAGCTTTGAAGAGAAGTTTACAGGAAGGACTTCAGCCTGGCACTTAATGGGGGCCTGAGGTAACTCCAAGGTTTGGGCTATAACGCTGAACTTACTTTCAAAACTTCAAGTTGCAAAACAGTCCACTCAACACACGCCTTAAACTACACATGAAACTTGGTTAAGTCCTTTACGGACGATTTATAAGTTAAAAAGGTCAAGGAATCTTAATATCCTAAGACCTATGCTAAATACAACAAAAATACCTTACAACGGTAACTTTTAAAAAATACTCCAGAAATCCTGATGGTAGGACTTCACATTCAGTGCTGAATGATTTTATTTGACCCCATTTGAAGTGTGATAATATTGTCTCCTCCATTCTATGAGGACAAGGATACTCTGGAGTGTGTCCCAAAGCTGGTAAAAAATCATTTCGTCCACTAAAATCAAAGCCTTACGAGTGATGCTGTCATTAACCAGGGGTTAAACTTTTAGGCTGAGGGGCGACCTCATGGTGACGTATTGCATCTCAAACACTACTACATTTGGTTTGGACCTCTTATCTGGCTTATGTTCCACAAAGAACCATAGGAATAATGTATGAAAATTAGAGATACGAAACAGCAATCTGAACAGTAACCTTACCTCCTACTTGCGGCGATTTGTCAAGTCTCGAACGTCACTGCCGGCTGTTGTGGTTCAAGCATGAAAAGACATTGAGTTTTGGCTAACACCACCGGCTCATTTGGCTGTACGCCTTGTCAAGGTCAATGGGTGCTACGTTAATTTATGCCGTCAACTTTTTAATGTAAGTTCATTCGTTGACGTTTTTGTAATCAGTAAGTGTGACATGGGCCACTTTTACGGAATCCTATTACCCTGCTAATATTTCTAATGAAATTTTACGCCTGATTGAACCGTTTACTGTGTCCACAGAACATAGATATTGGGATCTTCTCGAAGCTCCTCTTGGAAATAGGTGAGTTATATGTAATCTGATTTGTTTGTAGTTACAATCACTATGATTCGCTTTTCGGAAAGATGCAGGAAGTCAGTAGAAAATGTCCCATGATAACCACATTATATACCATTGGCAAATCTGTTGCTGGTAGAGAATTGTGGGTATTATCCTTCGGAAAAGTGCCAAATTACCATGTACCTGGGGTACCAGAAGTAAAGATCGTGGGTAATATGCATGGAAACGAAGCGATTGGGAGAGAACTTATACTACGCCTTGCATACCTTCTGTGTATGAATTATGGTTCTGATGAATTTATCACACTTTTGGTAAACTACACACAAATCCATCTTATGCCTTCAGCCAACCCTGATGGTTTTGAAATTTCAAATGAAGGTAGGTTGGCATGTTTTCGCACCGCGGTGTGTTTTAAAATTATAGTCGTGATGAGGACTGACGGTGATGATTCTAAACTTCGGTAATACCGATGATTAATTTTTCTTGATGCACACAGGTGATGGTTTTTAGTTCTCACGCCTACTATGTATCCTTTGTGGGATATGGATTAGATGTGACTAATTTGCATATTTACCAGGCTTATTACCCATATTTCAGTCTTAATAAACTGTTCACTTTTTAGGTACTCTATTAATTATTGCTCAGCCTCATGTCACTCAAGGAGTTATCTTAAGGAAACTTCTACTTTAAGGTAATAAAAAACAGGTTTTAAGGGGTAATGTTTTCTGATACAAATGAGCATACCTCTGTCAATATTACTAATAAGTTTCTCGTCAATCCCTTTTTGGATTTTTTGCTTTAAACGAAAAAACACTTCGGCGAGACTCTAATTTAGCGACGACCTTTGAACGAATCTTAAATGACCTTGACAATTATTGGCCAATCAGAAGACAGTTAGTATAAAGTGAGAATATATTGTAAGTAATGAATTACAGTGAATATTCTTCTTTTACATAATTTAAAAACTTGTTAAGGTTTGATAAAGGTTCAGAGGCTCTGAATTCATAATGCATATGGTATAGAAACTCGTTCATAGGGTTAGTAGTTAGGGCTGTAGCGTAACCCTAACCCTAAACCTTAACCTAACCCTAACCTAACCATAAACCCTAATCTAACCCTAACCTAAACCCTAACCCTAACCTTAACCCCAAACCCTAACCCTATGGACGAGTTTCTATACAATATGCATTATGAATTCAGAACTTTGAGCATTTATCAAACCTCAACAAGTTTTCGAATCATGTAAAAGAAGAATATCCACTGTAATTCATTACTTTCTTGTAATATATTTTTACTTTATACTGTCTTCTGATTGTCTAATAATTGAAATTGCTCAAACGCTTCTCATTGGCTCGTCCCTAAATTAGAGTTCCGCCGTCCCATCTGTTTTAACCTCTCATTAAGCACCTCTTTAAAGTCCGCTGTGAACCGACCGTATGTTAGCATCGCGTGTTGAACTTGGCTCCGTGACCTTGAAATTGCTCAAACGCTTCTGATTAGCTCGTCGCTAAATTAGAGTCTCGCCCACACACATTTATAGATGATTTCCTTAAAAGTTGAACGTTTCTTAACGAAGTTAAAAATAATGACCCTAGCTCAATAGATAAACCATAGTCTTGAAGTCGCTTTTTCGATCTTGATCGATTTGTCGTTATGACTAAATCTAACTCTGTTTTCCGTATTCTCACTTTTATTGCCTGTAACCCTTCACTTAAATTCCCCATCACCAAATAACCTGAGGAACTATACAAGCATCAGAAAGTTGTTTCAGTCTTGTTGGAAGCACTACTTTCACAACTAAACAGTTTCTTTTCTACCTAGGTTCTTCCTTTACGAGTATATTATCAAATATGCTGAGTTTCTCTGCTTTGGAATTTGTGGTTGATTCAGCACACTTCAAAAAGCTTCAGTTTGGGAATTTAAAAACCTAAATAAAATAGTTAATTTTAAGCAATAGAATATGTATGGCAAGTTGACTCTACTGTATTTCATTATACTTCAATTAAATTTCAAATTACTCTGTTGCACACTTCTGAAAGTTAAACAGTTCTACATAATAAATTTTCAAATAGTTCAATTTTCTGTTTAGTACTTGATAAATTCTAATGATTTCATCCACCTACAGGTGACACAAGTGGCCTTATTGGACGAAACAATCTCCATAATGTGGATCTGAATCGTAATTTTCCGGACCAGTTTGGCAAAACTGACGAAAACTTAGTACAAGTATGAACAGTATTGACTTGCTTGAAACTATTATTTTCAATTTTAGGAACCAGAAACCAAATTAATAATGCAATGGTCACAGGAGCATTCATTTGTTTTATCAGGTAATTTACATGCTGGATCACTAGTTGCATCATATCCATTTGACGGTAGTGCAAATATGACTGCCTATTATTCTGCATCTCCTGATGATGCAACATTCAAACACTTGGCTTCAGTGTATAGTCGTGTGAGTTGTGATTTCTTACTGATATAGTATCACTTGAATATGTAGTATAGATGCCTTACGACTGTTTAGACAGCCCATACTGGCCGTTTGCGAGTTCAAACTCCAAAATATATTTGATTTCGAACACTATCAAAAAATGGCCTGATGGTCCGCATCTATTTTGGTTATTTATAAGCAAGTGGGATGACATGTAGTTATAAGTATCAGTATAGTTTCTTCGGTTTAAATCTTTCTAGTCCGTTCAGTGGGTCCAAGTAATTTATCATTATCATAGTTTTAAGATAAGTTTTATTGAACTATAAGTTAGCTTAGCTACTTTCTATGTCATTTCACCTTAAGCAGAGCACTGATTGTGGAACCCACGGTAAATCATGAATAAAACACAAAGGCTGTCTACACTTCTCACAGTTGTGTATTTTATCACCGCTTGATAAGAATTTTAACTTTCCCGTTATAAAACACTCCAAAACATAATACTATTGTTGTTGAAGTGTCTCAACAGTCTAGAAAACCACTGCATTTTAACCATGTTTAGAGTAATTTCGGGTGATATAAAACGTTAATCACGGGAATGTTAACGTGTAATTAACAGTTTGCAAACTATTTTTAGATTAGCAAGCCATTTTTCCAAGTAAATACTTCCGAGTCGAGTTGTTCGAACCACTCAATTTTCTTCAGATTTTAATACATTGCTAATAAATTAAATGAATAAATGACACGACAAAGCATAGCGATTTTCTAAAATTTTAATTATCATTTATTCACGGAGAAAATAAAACTCTTACAATTCATAATAATAATTGTTGATCATCAATGACTCTTAATTGAGGACATATTAGTATAAGTGTTGAGTTCACTTATGTCAATCTTTCTAATTTAAAAAAGGCAGTTTAGTTACGTCATATATTACACTATTAAGTTGACTGTAAGAAATAAGTTGGTAGTCCTTCGTAAACGAATATCAGAGTGAGTCCAACTAAAGAGACTTTAGAAAAAGATTACTATATAGTGGTTTAGGTAATTTGTTTCGAGTTACAAAATCCATCTTTCTCAGTTGTCTGTTTTAACTTATATTTCCCTGTACCAATTATGAATAACAATTGCAAGTTGTAAGACATTAGTTTCTACATGATGCACGTTGCTACCATATTATACTCACATAGTATGTTTCATCCATTAGTCATTCGTTTGTAACCTGACCGTTGTTGCTACCTTGACGTGGTGGTCAGGCTTACCTATCGTGATGAAGCAACCGAGCTATACTGGCTGGAACAACCGTTCCTCAAGGTCCTACCATGTCAGACAGGTCGGTTGAAGAACGGTAAGACTAAAAGCAACAAACCCAAGGTCCGAAGGCTAAGTCGTACTGCTGACTGTACAGATGTGTGACAGCAGTAAGTTGTTTCATTCAGATAACCAGCATGACAGCGATGCTGCCTTCCCACAAGGAGGGGTGGGGTTAGAAAAGGTCGACCCTAAAAGTGCACACCTCACCTTATCCCACGGATATCCGTCTCCGGCGATAAGGTCTCAACAAGTACGGAGCTAACACAGAAATTACTCATAAAAAGGTCGTGTGTGACCGACCTCAAGCAGTTGTTCCTTGAGCACTACGGTCACGCTCTCAGGTCACTAAGACCACCTCTAATCCAATTTCCTTTTCAGGTACCTCCAGAAGAACCCTTCCACGGTGTGGGCAACCGGGAAGTGATAACCGCCCTCATACCTCTAACAGCATTCAAGACCATTGTATTCATAATCAACCTCCGTCTTCACTTCCTATTATTCCCCCTACATCGACTTTCACCCTAAACTTCCTTTTCGGCTTCCCCCTCAAGTGTCACCATAGCCAACGATTCTAGTGCTCAAAACACTGTCCCAGGTCTACTGAAACCTCGCTCCAAACTACACATTGGAGCCTTCAACGTACGCACCCTATGTCAAATCGGTCAACAGGCTTCCTTGGCTAGAACCCTAGAATCTAGTACCATTGATGTATGCTGTGTCTCTGAAACACGCATACAGGATCCAGTGTGGTCATTCACTTGACCTCACCTCGGCAAAACGGAGAGCCAACGAGATACATCCTCCGTGTATCTGGTGACCCGATGGCCAGTTCTCGTGGACTGGCAGGTGTAGGCATAGCACTAAGCATGAGGGCGGAACAAGCACTGCTAGAGTGGATCCCCGTCAACAGTCGTTTATGTGCTGTTCGGCTAAACGGCTCCGTAAGAACTCGGAAGGATAGGGACACACGTCGTTGCCTTTTTGTCGTTTTTGCCTACGCTCCCACTGACTGCAGCTCAGATGAAGTGAAAGATGAATTTTACAGAAAGCTAAACTTTCAGACATAGTACTCGTAGGGGTGACTTTAATGCCCAGATAGGTAGTTTAAACCAAACAGAAAGGCATTTAGGTGGGTATTTTAGTATTCCGACACAGCGAACAGATAATGGTGATCGTCTGCTGCAACTGTGCTCAGACAATCGTTTTTTTTAGCAAACACAAATTTTAAGCATAAGGAGAGACATCGTCTAACATGGCGACCCCCTACACCAAACCAACGATGGACTCAAATAGACCATATTGCCATCAGTCATCGTTGGAGAGGGTCGGTAGAAGATTGTCGCTCATTCTGGAGTACCTGCTTGGACTCCGACCATGCCCTAATACGGGCACGCATCTGCTTGCGCCTCACTGGACGCAAAAAAGCCACATTAAAAAGACCCATTAGAACTGAATTGAGTAACGAGAAAACCAAAAGTAGGTTCCAGGAACAACTGAGGTCACAATTAGGTAGTTCTGAAAACGAGGCTGACCCAGATGTTGCTTGGAAAGATATACAAACAGCTGTGGAAACAGCAGTGACATCTATCAGTGATTTAAACCACAGGTTACAAAGAACCAATGGATTTCTTCAAGGTCTATTGCACTGATGGATTCTCGTAAACTCATCCCATCAGGCTCTGAACACGATGAAGAGCGACAACAAATCAGATCTAGGTTAAAAAAAGTCTAAGGAACGACCGTGAGCAGTGGTGGGCAACGAAAGCAAAAGAGATGGAAAAGGCGGCGACTATAGGGAACACAAGACAGCTTTACAGACTAATAAAAGAAACTGGAATTAATAAGTCAAGTGTAAGTGAGATTATTTCGGAAAAAGACGATACCCTCATCTGCTCCCAGTCCAGACGTTTAGAACGATGGGCGGAACATTTTAGAGAACAGTTCAGCTGGCCTTCAGCTACTCTACAACTACCCTCCATTCCCAGACATGTGAATGGAACATTGAAGTAGGTCCCCCAACTCTTGCTGAAGTTCAAAAGGCTATAGTTAATCTGAAACGAGGAAGGGCAGCTGGTCCAGATGGATTGGCTCCAGAAGTCTTTAAGGATGGTGGTCCAATTTTAGCGATTAGGTTGACTAATATTTTAGCTAAGATCTGGGAGTTAGACGTTATCCCATCTGACTGGTCGCAATCACTTATCGTCCCAATATATAAGAAAGGGTCAAAATCATCCTGTGACAACCACAGAGGGATTAGTTTAACTAATATAATATCTAAAATACTAGCCTCGATAATTATCAGACGCCTAACTAAGACTCGTGAACTGCAAACACGAGAGAACCAAGCTGGCTTTAGACCTGGTCGTGGCTGCATCGACCACATATTCACCATTCGTCAGGTTCTAGAACACAGGCATACTATCGGCGTCCGACGATGGTGGTCTTTCTTGACTTAAAAGCAGCATTTGACTCTGTAGACCGCGAGATTCTGTGGCAGTGTCTGTCATTGAAAGGCGTACCTCAGAAGTACATAAACCTTGTGAAGGCTCTTTACTCGAACACTACTAGTCGAGTCAGGGCTTATGGCGAACTGTCATCTACTTTTGCAACCTCAAGTGGTGTCCGTCAAGGCTGTCCACTTTCTCCATTTTTGTTTAACTTCATCATAGACCTATTGATGGAAATAACACTCTCGTCGACTGAATTCTCGGGTATTGATCTCCTTCCAGGAGGTCCACTTATCGACTTAGAATACGCAGATGACATAGTCCTGTTTGGTGAAGACGCTGACAAAATGCAGAGTCTTCTGGTAGCACTAAGCAACAATGCCAGAATGTTTGGAATGCGCTTCTCTCCCTCTAAATGCAAGTTGTTGCTTCAGGACTGGTCTGCGTCAACACCTGAACTAAGGATAGGGAGTGAAGTAGTCGAACGCGTTGACAACTTCACTTATCTTGGAAGTCTGATCAGCCCTAATGGGTTGGTGTCTGACGAAATCTCAGCACGGATTCGAAAAGCTCGTTTGGCTTTTGCCAACTTACGTCACCTTGGCGAAGGCGAGATATCCGTCTATCAATAAAAGGACGAGTATACTGCGCGGCAGTCGTTCTGTTTTAATTTACGGCAGCGAAACATGGCCTTAAGAGTAGAAGACACCCGTAAGCTACTAGTATTTGACCACAGATGCCTTAGAAATATTGCTGGCATCTGCTGGGATCACCGGGTAAGTAATAGTGAGGTTAGACGCAGGGTATTAGGGAATGATGGTAAATCAGTTGATGAGGTTGTGAATCTTCATCGACTGAGATGGTTGGGCCACGTGTTACGTATGCCTGAACACCGATTACCACGACGTGCAATGCTAACCGGTGTTAGGGATGGTTGGAAGAAAGTTAGGGGCGGCCAAACCAAAACGTGGCATCAGTGCCTGAAGTCACTAACTTCTAGTCTGAGCCATGTTGGTAGATGCAGACTACTTGGTTGGGGTCCGCGTGACTTTCGTAACCAATGGTTGGAGACTCTTGGTGACATGGCTCAGAATCGATCACAATGGCGTCGGTGTATACACTCCGTCTTCCCTTAAACTAAGAGATTAAAATCACTTCATATCTTTCTTTCTACGAACTAATTCTTTCTTCCTGTACTATATCCTTATTGCAATCTTTCTTTTATATATTACCACCTCTGAATTAACTACTTTTATGAATCCGGTGTCCATCTTATTGTGTTAGTGAGGTATGGCAACCTGGGCCGATGCATACATGTGCCTGGTCCTACGTTGTAGCTGACTGACTGACATTCTTTTGTAAGCTTCGGTTTCGGATAAATGATTATATATGGTTCTTTTTTTCTCTGAAGATGTATTGAAGAAACGCCATTAAAAATTTGTGTTTTATGTTGTGTAAATTGCAGGCTCACAAGAGCATGTACCTGGGTAGACCTGAATGTGATTTTAAGACTTTTCCGAATGGAATTACCAACGGAAATAACTGGTACCCACTGCAAGGTGGTATGCAAGATTGGAATTATCTAGTTACGGGATGTATGGAAATCACATTAGAATTAGGATGTGTTAAGTATCCACGAGGATCAGAAATATCCACTTATTGGGATGACAATAAATATTCCCTTATAGCGTTTCTATCTGAAGTTAGTTTCCATATTTTGTTATAATTATTGTATTAATTAAAAGTTAGTTTTCTATTCATTTCGCATTTTGATCTTAGTTCATAAAGAAACATTTGTTATATGAAAAGCCATAGTTGATGTACTTACACGTCATGAGAACTAAAATATCTCGGTGTCAATGTCCCAAAACACATGTAATGCTTTATTAATATTTAAATAATGGTTTTCTGTGTAATTAATTGGAGGGACAGCTTGTTGGTCAGGGCGATTGGCTTCCAGCCACTAAGTCCAAAATTTAAATCCCGCTCCACCTACTTCGATTAGATCAACCAGGTATTGTGTCTAGCCCTCACACCTAGAGTGGGGCTCATACCCAGTCGTCCCGCAAATGAATCAGCTTGTATCTTAGAATTAAATTGTAACTGTAGAATTGGATTGATTGAAGTTAGACATTAACACCGTTGGATGCCGGCTCAGTGGTCTAATGGTTAAGTGATCGCGCGCGAAACCAGTAGGTCCTGGGTTCGAATCCCGCGGAGTGCGGGACCGTGGGTGCGCACTGCTGAGAAGTCCCATACCAGACGAAACGGCCGTCCAGTGCTTCCAGATTTTCTATGGTGGTCTAGTTTCAATTGACTCATGATTTCAACCAGTGAAACTGTAGAATAGCTTGGTTCTTGCTTAACCAGTATTTGATCTTAGTATATATATGAATAAACATGACATATTCTCATAAAGAGTTACTGGTGGGAAGAAAAGTTGTGAGGATGCTTGCTGATTACCGATGAAGAAATCTTGATGGAAATATAGACAATGATTTTCAAGCACATACTAAGTAAAGGCAAGAAAAAAGAAAAACATTTGCCAGGTAATCCCAGTTCATTAATTTACCTTACATAACTTCTTAAATCTGTCGAAGTAAAAATGGTCTTCTGTAAAAATTGAATTTAGGTTCATCGAGCTTTACGTGGTTTCGTATTTGATGGATCCACGAAACTTCCTGTCGGGAGAGCTTCTATACATGTGGAGGGATTAAGTCATTTAGTTAATTCCACTCCATACTATGGTGATTATTGGCGTTTGCTCCCACCTACTGGTGGTGTATATCGTGTATGGGCTTCAAAAATTGGGTAAGTGGTTTTGTTTCTCACGTGGTCTGATTACATGATAGTCACTTTTACTCATTATCTAGAAAGTGTCAGTTGCACCAGTCTTTCGTTCACGCCAGACCTAAAATCCTGTGGATTAAGAGTTAAGCACCTGGACCGCCTTGTCACCGCTAAAATTGATTTTGTAATATCTTAGATATAAGGTTCCATGCAATTGCTTAGCGTATGACCAATACATATTTCAAATCGAAAATTATCAAATTGTTCGGTAGTCTCGGAAACAATCAGTTAACCGTCATTAAAATGAATAAAGTTATCAGCGTAACTTCATAAAGTAAACATTAATAACAGGATGATAATAGGTTGGGATGAGTTCATAGAAGTGAGACAGTGAAATTTTTTATTTGAAAAGCGAAATTAAGAATGAATAACTAGATCTAACTGTATAAAGTTTTGTGCCATTTCACTGATTTCTAGTCATTTTTATCATTCCAATTATTTCAACCAAAAAGTCAAATTCTCAACCTAGCTGAATCTTATAATAAGCAATTTTTCAAATTCGTTTCTTACCTTCTTCCTGTCTATTGAGAATTTTACCAACTCGACGTCAAATCAGTCAACAATTGCACATGAAACATGTGTTGGTTGGGGATTCCCGATAGTATTAATCAATGCAGAACCACAGCGGAATCATTTGGTGTCTGTGTTCTATGACTGTAATCCTGTCTTAGTACAATCTTTGATTAGTTTTAATTTAGTTAAGTGTATCCGTTTAAGATATTAACGACTGAATATATATAAGTTAATGATATTTTTTTGTCTTTATTGATCAAGTTTAATCATCTGTTGACGGATTTGAATGGACTACTGGAGTATGCCTTAAACTAAATGAGTTATTAAGTATTGCATCACTACACTTGTATACCCCGACCGTAGCTGCTACCTTGACGCGGTGGTCGGGCTTGCCTATCATCATGACCCAACCGAGCTATATTGGCTGGAACATATGTTCCTGTAGGTTCTACCATGCCAGGCAGGTCGACTGAAGAACGGTAAGACTAAAAGCAACAACTCAAGGTCTGAGGGCGAAATCGTACTGCTGACTGTAGAGGGGTGTGACAACAGTAAGGTGTTTCCCTCGGACAATCAGCATCTGCAGCGATGCTGCCTCTCACAAGGTTGACCCTAAAAATGTCACACCTCACCTTACCTCACGGATTTCCGTCTCCGGCGGTAAGGCCCTTTGAAGAACGGAGCTAACACATTAAAAACCTTCCACGAAAAGGCCGTGCGCGACCGGCCTCAAGCAGTTGTCCCTTGGGCTCTGCGGTCACGCTCCCAGGTCGTCAAGACCAACACTAATCCAATTTCCTTTTCAGGTTCCTCAAGAAATACCCTTCCACGGTGTGGGCAGCCGGGAAGTGACATCAGCCCTCATACCCGTAACAGCACACGAGACCAAGTTGGTCACATTCAAATCCTTCCTACACCTCCTAATACCTCTCTTATCTCCATGACTAACCCTCCTCACGTCTCTTTATCACCTCGCACCGCTAGGGCAAACGATTCGAGTACGTGGAACGCCATTCCTGGTCTCCTGAAACCACGCTCTAAACTACACGTAGGAGCTTTTAACGTACGAACACTTTGCCAAATAGGACAGCAGGCTTCCTTAGCTAAAACTTTAGAATCTCGCGCCATCGATGTGTGCTGCGTCTCCGAAACGCGCATACAGGATCCGAGTAGCGTCATTCATTTGACCTCACCATGCCAAAATAAAGAACCGACTCGATTTACGCTTCGTGTATCTGGAAGCCCTGATTCTGCTTCCCGTGGCCTCGCCGGCGTAGGTATAGCATTGAGTCCTAGGGCAGAACTAGCTCTCTTAGAGTGGATCCCAGTAGACAGTCGTTTGTGCGCTGTCCGACTGAACGGAACAGTAAGAATCCGGAAAGATAGGGACACTCGTCGTTGCCTCTTCGTCGTCTCTGCCTATTCTCCCACTGACTGCAGCTCAGATGATGTAAAAGATGAGTTTTACAGAAAGCTTTCGGACCTTCTCCGAAAAGCTAGGCGCTCGGATGTAGTAATAGTGGCCGGTGACTTTAATGCTCAAGTAGGTAAACTAAGCGATAGGGAAAGACACCTAGGTGGATCTTATGGTGTCGTGGCTCAAAGAACAGATAATGGCGACCGTCTGTTGCAGCTATGCTCAGATAACCGCCTGTTCCTTGCAAATACTAACTTTAAGCATAAGGAAAAACATCTTTTAACATGGCGACCCCCTAATTCGTCCCAACGTTGGACCCAAATAGATCACATCGCTATCAGCCACCGATGGAGGGGCTCGATAGAAGACTGTCGCTCATTCTGGAGCACATGCCTAGATTCAGATCATGCTCTAGTGCGAGCGCGTATTTGCTTGCGTCTTACTGGACGTAGGAAAGACGCTGCAAGGAAACCTCTTAGGGCCTACTTAATGATAGTCAAGCTAAGAGTATATTTCAGGAACAACTAGGAAAACAGTTAGGCAGCCATGTATGTGATGCCCACCCCGATGCAGCATGGAATGATATCCGAAAAGCTGTGGAAACAGCAGTGATATCTGCTAGTAAGGTAAACCAGAAGGTTAGGGAGCAACACTGGATCTCAGCAGCATCTATCGCACTGATAGATGCTCGGAAACTCATTCCACCTGGCTCTGAACATAATGAAGAGCGGAGTCAGCTTAAGCGCAAGCTGACAAGAAGTCTACGCAATGATCGCGAACAGTGGTGGGTAGCGAAAGCAAGAGAGATGGAAAAGGCAGCGGCAATAGGTAATAGCAGACAATTGTTCAGACTCGTTAAGGAAACCGACTGTTAGCGAAACAATCTCAGAGAAAGATGGACATATTATTCATTCTCAATCCAGGAGATTGGATCGATGGGCAGAACACTTTAGGGATCAGTTCAACTGGCCTTCAGCCACACTTCGGTTTCCCACGATCTCCAGTCAACCTGAATGGCAAGTTAATGTAGGTCCTCCGTCCCTTTACGAAGTTGAAAAAGCCATAGGAAATCTGAAACGAGGGAGAGCAGCAGGCCCTGACAGGTTTACTCCTGAGATTTTTAAGGATGGTGGTCCAGTATTAGCAATGAGATTAACTGAGGTCTTAGGTAGAATTTGGGAACTGGACGTAATCCCATCTGACTGGTCTCAATCACTGATTGTGCCAGTCTATAAGAAAGGACAAAAGTCCTCTTGTGACAATCACAGAGGAATCAGTTTGACTAATATAGTGTCTAAAATATTAGCTTCAATAATACTTCGACGCCTAACTAAAGCTCGTGAAGAGCAGACTAGAGAAAACCAGGCTGGTTTTCGACCTGGACGTGGTTGTATAGATCAGATATTCACACTACGTCAGGTTCTAGAACACAGACACACATTCAGACGCCCCACAATGGTAGTATTTCTCGACCTTAAGGCGGCATTCGACTCTGTTGATCGTGAGGTTCTATGGCAGTGTTTGTCACTGAAAGGAGTACCAAAGAAGTACATTAACCTTATAAAGGCTCTCTACTCGAACACAACTGGTCGAGTGAGAGCTTATGGCGAACTGTCATCAGAATTGATTACCTCAAGTGGTGTTCGTCAGGGCTGTCCACTCTCCCCATTCTTGTTCAACTTTGTGGTCGACGTACTTTTAGAGATAACACTCTCCTCATCTAAATTTCCAGGGGTTGAACTTCTACCGGGAGGTTCACTTGTTGACTTAGAATATGCTGATGACATAGTTTTATTTGGTGAAGACGCTGACAAAATGCAGAGTCTTCTGACCACTCTAAGCAACAATGCAAGCATGTTCGGGATGCGATTCTCTCCCTCGAAATGCAAAATGTTGCTTCAGGATTGGGTTACATCGACACCCGAACTAGTGATAGGGAGTGAAGTAGTTGAGTGTGTCGACCGCTTCACTTATCTTGGAAGTCTCATCAGCCCTTGTGGTCTGGTGTGTGACGAAATCTCAGCACGGATACAGAAGGCTCGACTAGCTTTTGCCAACTTGCGTCATTTATGGCGTAGGCGAGATATCCGTCTATCAACCAAAGGACGTGTTTACTGCGCAGCAGTTCGTTCCGTCCTACTTTATGGCAGTGAAACATGGCCGGTAAGAGTAGAGGATATTCGTAGGTTACTAGTATTTGATCATAGGTGTCTTCGAAATATTGCTCGTATATCATGGGACCATCGAGTAAGTAACAGTTGTTAGGAAACGGGTACTAGGTAAGGATGGCAAATCAATTGATGAAGTAGTGAAACTTCATCAGTTGAGATGGCTGGGACACGTGTTACGTATGCCCAACGACCGACTGCCTCGACGTGCTATGTTCAGTGGTATAGGAGTAGGTTGGAAGAAAGCTAGGGGCGGCCAAACCAAAACATGGCACAAGTCCATGAAGTCACTGACAAGTGAACTGAGTCATGTTGGTAGGTGTAGACTACCTGGTTGGGGACCGCGAGATGATAGCAACCGATGGTTAGAGACCCTGAATGACATGGCTCAAAATCGTTTGCAATGGCGCAGGTGCATCCACTCTCTGTGTTCTCCCAAATTCTAATCTTCTGAATTCTTCATGTCCCTTTTTTCCTCTTTCCAAATTTATTTCACTGGATTATACTCTTTAAATAACATCTCCAAACCCTAATCTTCCCGATTACTGCTTATACTCTTATTACCTCTACCACTACGGGATTTGAATCGACAATTGTACCTCTGTGTTAATTTGGTATGGCAACTCGAACTGATGTACGTACGTACGAAGTTCTACGTTGTTACTGACTGACTGACACTTGTATACTGACTGTTTATGTACAGAAATTTCGCTGAGAAGGGGAACTCATTGAGAGTAATAAAACTGTGCTGCTGAAGTTTTTGATATCAATCGCTTTATTTAGGACTCATTAAGTGAATATACCTGTATCCTATATCCTGGTGATTTTCACGCGGATACTCAAATCGATAGCCGTTGCTTTAAACTGTAATGCTTTGTCCACCAGGTAACTGAGTTTAAATAGGCACTAGCTAGTTCACTGAGTATGAGTTATTCCGTAAGGTTTATATTAACCCACTGTTGTTACGTAGGACTGAAATTCGACTAATGAATTAATTAAAATTTAACAAACAAGTAATATCGAAGAGTCCGCTTAATATCCCCACTTGCCAACGAAGACTGACCGAATTTCTGTTCTGAATATCAACAACCTCATAGCATAAACCTTTACTGATAAACATAGTAACTGTTGTCTTGTTGAAATCTTGATCTTGCATATTGTGAAGCAATATTAAATTCAATGTTGAATCAGTAGTATCAGTCGATAGACAGTCATGAATCCACATTTCAACTTGATTTAAATTTTTTTCCCGTTGTGATAATACCCAACAATTTTTGTCTGTTGGTGGTCCTACCGCTCTTAATTTTTCAACATTGTTTACCTAATTCACATTCGTTGAGAAATTTATGCATATTAATTCATTGTTTAGCTAACATAGTAAATTAAAGCACTAGAGTTAGTCAATCAGTCAGTAGTCGAGATAGGACCTGACACGCATACGCATCGGTCTAGGTTACGACACTATACATCAGCACAGCGAAAGGTAATCAACGAAATATGAAGCATAGGATAGAAAGCGATATAATAATCAGTTTTAATATGCAAAGTACGTTTTGGCAAGAACGAATCTTATCGGGGGAATGGAAGGTTACATATGATAATTATTTTCAAATTTACAGAGTGATAAAAAATCAATACAACTCCGCTACTGTGACCAATTCGACGCTATGCCATCCAACTCAAATGCTGTAATTGAATTTTTTTCTCATTTTTTTCAAGATGCGGATGCAGAGTTTGTGTAGTTATGATCTGGTATAGTTGTAGTTTATAAGTTCTAGATTGATGTCGTGTAGCTGCAAATCAGTAGTCTGTAGACTTGCATTTCCCAAGTTGATTTTAAGTTCAAGAGCTCACTTGTCCCAAACTAATTAGATCAACCAGGTTATATCTGTGACCACCACTAGTGTATTTAAAAGCCAAAAAGAAATGACACTTTCATAGTGTACTTAAGAATAAGATTGTAATATGTATATCCTTATTATGGATCCTTTTGTTTTCTTGCAGATATTTTGATTCACTCAAATATGAAGTGAATGCATCCCTTCTACCTTATGTGTCAATTACAAATAGTGAACAGTTAAATTTCACTTTATGGCCTGATAATCAATTAACAGCGGAATGGTCAAGTCAATTAGATTACAATATCGCATTGAATCGTCTACCTTCATTCATACATGAATCAACTTATGATGAAACAATCAAAAATATGTTTACTAATTTATCACATTCCATTAAGAAATACTTTACATTACATCAAATTACTGTTTCTTCAGCAAAAACTATCATTTCTAATTTTACTACTAACAATACTAATAATAATGATCATAATAGTGAAAAATTGTCGACAGTATATGGAATTGGTTTGTCACTTCCTCATTATTCACATATTATTCCCATCAATGATCAAAATGACAATTACAATAATGTGAAATTACAGCCTCAATTCGATAAAATACGTATTATAACTTTAGCCGGTTTAAATAGTAAAGAATTAATTTCTACAGAAATCGCTATTCGTTTACTACGTCATTTACATTCAGGTAAGTTTTTTTTTGTCTTTTAATAGTAATAACAGTTAATAATAAATACATTTTTGTTACATCCTAATGAGTAGAAAAATTGTATCTCTGACGTTTCGTGACTTGATGTAAGTTACTTCTTCAGAGTAAATAAATAACCGAGATTAACATAAGTTTATATAATACAAAGGAAATAATTATTATTATGTCAATCTAATTTGTTATAAGTGATTAAACTGCCGAAGATACTAAGTAGTATTATAAAACTGCTATAATTCAGATGCAACTAACAACTTATGATTTATCTAAACTAAGATATAAGGAAAGTTTTATAATTGTGGTTTGAACTGAAATATAAATTTTTCTAAGTGAAAATATTACCAGTGTTGGATTCATTTATGTAAAATTGTACTGCGACTGGTTGTGCTGTCGTTACGTTTTTACAGTTAGATAATATACATCATTAAAAATGCCTATAAATTTGTAAGTTATAATAACTTTTTGAGTTACATGTCCTTCCATTCATTTACTACAACTTGATTGGTGTGTTAATTATTACTGGTTTATTGGTCGTACTTGGTGTTTGATTGAAGTAAATTAGATTTGGGTTTTACACTTACAAACAAGTAACTTCAAACTTAGTTCATTGAATTTTAGAGTTGTTTTTTTCTTAACATATCAAGATTGTTTGTTTAAAGATATGGAAAGTAAAAAGTACATTGGGTCGAAAAATTTCTATCCAGATCAAAAAACTCTCGTTTGGTTTTTACCAACTTCCAATATTTTTCGCGTAGGTGAAATATCGTAAGTTTATTAAAGACCAAGTATATTGGGGAACCAGTTATGGTGAACTGTGAAACATTGATTTCGCAAAGTGGATCTATCAGAAGTACAACGTCGGGGTTTGTTTTTGTGCCCCAAATGCCCTGGTACGGCCGAGAGTGGGGAGAGTCCGCTCTCCTCTCGAAATGCTTTCACATGGCCACGCGTATATAGCCTCTGCCTAGGAAGTCCTACTCACTGCCTTCTCGTGGCGGGGGTGTTGTTTTTGAAAATAGAGGACTAAAAGCGAATGTTCGGCGCTTTAACCGGATTCCAGTATGCTGCGGGAACAAATGGCGTATGAACCAATTGTTGGTCACCGGCTTCCATGGGACTCCATCACCTCACGATGCTCCACTGCCTTGTGGATCAGACCTTCAGGTCGAAGGCTCGGGGAGTGGTCCCCTAAAAAAACCACCTGCTTCGGTTTGGGCACCCGAGCAGTATCATAGCCCTCACATATATCGAATGAGATTTGTGTGGCGCATATGTATTTGGTGCCTCCTTGTACCAATATCTATGTGTTAAAATAAATAAATAAATAATCCTTCCGTTGAAGTAAATCAATCGAATTTGTAAACTATCTAGGAGTATTGGCTCATCTATCGTATTTATTGCCATACTTATGTCTAGTGATAAATAAAAGTTGTTATTAAGTTACCATCTTAGTGAAGGGTAAACTATTCTGATTATTTATATTGTTTCAGTTAGATGGAGGATATTTATTAGGGCTTGTATGAACCAGTACAATATCACTGGGGGATTTGAATCTTCTGAGTTTAATCTTATCGTTAAGGAAATGAACCGCTTGACGTGATAAGACCTCAAGGAACAATTGTTCCAACTAAGATAGCTGGATTTTGTCGTTTCAGTAGATATTCTGAACTCAAAATAACTTACTACTAGCCCGCTCAAAAATGTGTACAATAACCTAGTCATGTACACAGAACTTAATCCTTATGTACATTTTCTTACTGACTATTTCATTCATCACTTGTCTAGGTGAATTTGACTGAATCTATTTTATTTTACTTTCTTACCTTATCGTAGGATTAACCGCTTCGAGTCCGGATATTTGGCGTCTTTTAGCTACTAGTCAGCTATTAATATTTCCATATTTAGATCCGGTCGGTATTCATGAGTCACTATTTAGTGTCAAACAAAAACAAAATTTGATGAATCAAAGTCAGAACACTTGTAAATTGTCTTCAGATAATGTTGATGATCGTTCGGTAGGCTTTTAATTTCTTTGTTTATTTACTTTGTAATATTATTTTGTGTGTTTATGCCTACCGTCATTGATAGGTGGAAATTATTTTTTAAAATCCTTGATGTAAATCTAGAAATCTCCCCAACTATCCACTAACAGTCTGTATGTGTGATTAACTTTAGATTTTCAACTATCAGTGAAGTTGAGTAGTGAGTGACTCAACCGAAGTTGCAAAAAATTACAAGGTCTAGCAGGGCAACTCTAGAAATTGTAAAAGTTAGTGTCTTAGACCTACTAGTTACACTGAGTATGGTGTGGAAATTGAAGAGCCAGATGTAATTTTATCTGACCAATCAGGATCGCTAGTCGTCTTGTTTTATGAGAAAACAATAAAAAATTTTTTGTTAATAACTGTTTATAATTGATAATAACCATGGGAAATAAGGGAGTTTCCGGATCGCAAAAGCCATGTATTGAAAAATTCTTTATCTTTAACCGGCTTTTGAATTAGCCCTATTTACCGACGTCCGATTATCTATATCCCTTAACTTAAAGGCGGTAATATAGTCTATTGATTGAAAGGGCTCACCTCAGTTTGAAGGACGTACAGAAGAAGTACATCAATCTCTTGAAGACTCGTTACCTGAACATTATTGGTCTTGTCATAGTTCACGGGAGTATTGACTACATCAAGTTGTACTTCTCAACGTTATTTGCTTTCCCAACCTTTATTTAATTCGTCGATAGTTAATACTTCATTCTACTTCTCAAGAACTGAAAGTCTGATTAAATTTTTCAGATGATACTGACAAAATATAAAGTCTTCTTTGAACATATGTCAATGTGTGAGAATAGTCAAATACATTTTCTCTAACCTACCCGCTTAGTTCCCGTTGAACAACTACTATCTACAATATTTCTTGATTTGTTTAATCATTGAAATCCTGTTTATATTAGTTTGACATACTCTTAATTCGTTTTTATTTATGTGGTTATTGGAAAAATAGTCATATTGTTTTCATCTTTTTCCCTTTCACTACAGGTTGTTATTGTAGCACCAATTGAAAACAATGTTTCAGATTTTCTTTTTTATATTAATTTTTTATGGTGTATTTTGTTTTATACTACAAGTTAGTGTTTATTTTATGTGTCTGCATATTTGAATTTGTGGCTTACGGCATGTTCTGGAATGGTCTTTTATGGTTGCAATATTTGTATTTTAAAAAAAAAACAATTGTGCGCGTGCACCTGTCTGCAAAACATTTGCTATAGGGATGAAACATTTGAATTCTCTTTGAAAATACACCTCACTACTCGGTTGGAAATAGGTTTTAATCACTAGCTTATATTGAAACCTTCCAGTTAACGTTTTTCTAAATAATCAATTAATTTTAATGATAGCCTACATTAAATGAGTGGGTGAAACATTAAGAAATACTTGATCATTTTTCCAAAATTTTAATAATTTTTCACTTTTTCAAAGTGATTCTAAATTTTATTAACCATACAATTGCCCATTCTTCGTTTTATCTACATGGTACTAATTAATGTAATGTTTAGTTCCAAGTGTTTCATTTCGTATTCCATTAGTTAGATTAGAAAGGATTACAAAATTATTTATTATAAACTGAATGGCTAATATTGTCGTACAACCATCAAACCTGCCAGAACCTTAAAATATCACAAGTATTCGTTCTGTAAAGCATTATATTGATTTTAGCCAAACCACCGCTGAAATCTCCGAAGCACTGGACAGCCGTTTCGTTTTAGTATGGGGTTTCTCGACAGTAAGCGTCCATAATCCTTCACCTGGGGATTAAACCCAGGACCTTTCGTCTTGCGTGCAAATGACTAATCTCCAGACCACTGGTCTGGCATCCAACTGCATTAATGTCTAAACTCAATCAATTTACGATATTGCGCGATCATTCCCTATTGCTTGTGGTAGTGAACTGTCTCACGACCAACGTGGTAGGACTCTAATGGTTATGGCATCTCACTAAAACTAAAGGAGTTACTTCTTGAAGCTAACCACTGGTGACTACCGATTCTGGTTAAAAAACGATAAATTAAAGGTGTGACCGCGAAGAAGCTTTTATTTTTGATGTCCCATGATAGCATTTAATTCCAAATGAAGCTGATTGAAATCAAGTATATTATGGTAGTGAGACATTTAAGAATGTTGCATAAACAAAGACTTAGTTTAGGTTAGAAATGAAGAAAGTATTACACATTGAGGAATAGGATTATGTAACAAAATAAAAATGGGAATAATATTAATTATTGTAAAGAATGGGTTCAATTTTGTATGTGGTTGATGCTACTCAGCAGTAAGCCAATAAAATTCAATCATGAGATTACTTACTACTCACTGATCAATGACTATACATATATACATTATCTTGATATCATAACATAATAATAGAATTTATGTATCATTTTCGTGTACAATGACAGTATGCATAACTAGCGACTCATCTTTTTAAACTGAGCATCATTTAGGAAATTTCATATCGAAGTGGTAAACGTTTAAATACATTATTTTGAAGTAATGTTTAAATTAGCTTAGCCACGTAACAACATCTTGTACCACTGTTATGTGTTGGGTTCATCAAGAGAGGTAAACTACGAATATGTTTTGTTTTAGTTTCTTGGTTTTTCAGTATGATCTCAGTTTTACTATGATTAACTATATCAATTAAATGTAAAATTGTATCGGAACGCGTGAAATTGAACTTTTATTTATCTTTTTTTTTTCCTTGATCCATGTATACCTGTGTGCTGAACAATATTTTATTGCTGTGTGTCAATTTTTGCCAATGAAGTTATTTTTATGGTTTAATTACTTTCCACTATCTCTATATTTAATGATGAAGTTCTCATTTGTATTCCCTCCCTTTTTTTTTACTCGATTCTAGAATCCAATATTTAACAATGAAAAGTTTCAAAAGATAACTCGTGAATTTCAACCACATTTAATTATTTCTCTTGAATCTAACAATTTAACAAAATGTTCAATAAGAACTACAACAAATATTAATAATGTCCAACAAAATCAACAACTACCTTTAACTGCAATTCATATACCAAGAGATTTAAACAAGAAATTTCAAATATTGATCTATTTCATAATTTCGCTATTGGTTTTAATTCAACAGTGAAATGTTCTACAAAACATTCATTTCATTGTAATGAAACATCACAATATATGAATAGCATTTGTATGTTTATTTGTTTGTTTTTTTTTGTGTGGAAACATTGGTTTTTTCTAAAGAAGTTTTATTGTATTCAAATAAAGTGCGTTACTTTACCGATTGAAAAATCTGTTTATGACAATTGATAATAATGTTCTACTTTTAACTGCTAGATAATACATTTAAATAAGGATATATTTTTGGCGAGACTATAATTTATAGACAACCTTTGAGCAACGGTAAAATCACCTTGGAATGTCCACCTACTTACTAGGGTTAAATGAGGGTTATAGATCGGTGTTAGGAATTAGGGTTAGGATTTACAGTTGAATGTTAGGGTTAGGAGTCAGATTTAATGTTTTCATCACGAACTGACATAAGCTATAATACCAAAATGGTACTTATCCAAATGATCGAATGAATTTCCCGCCCGAATTTAAGGCTCGCTATCTTAGATCTGATTGGTTCGTCCACAAATTATAGTCTCGCCGTCACGTATATATCCTGGTCTTAAATGTAGTCTACAGATAACAATATGAGATTTCAGTGCTGGGTTTAATTTCGAATTTGCCAATATAATTCTCAAGTGGTATGTTCAACTTCTAAGGATTTTGTTTTGTTATAGATTCAGTTGTGAAGCTTTGATTATCTGTCCGTCTTAATGATGTCTAGAAAATAAAAACAGAGGTTCGCTATTCAAGCATTCAAGTTTAGAGAACACTAAATTCCGTAAAATATGTGTATCATTGCCATCTGGCAATGTTTAAATTTTATATATCATAGCGCGCATTGACTTAAGAAGCCGAGTTCCATTACATTTATCTTTATTGTGACTACCAGTATATTTCGGTTTTTATTGTGATTCATTCATGTGCACTATTGTATATAATACGACGCGGTTGAGATCTGGCCATCGACTGCACCACAAATGACCTGAAATCAGTAAACGGTCCGAGTAGTCAGCAAAATAGGTTTCTACTGATACATTAACATGGTTTTCTACAAAACAGGATCATATGTCACTTGGAAAAACGCGATTGAAAGATACACGAGTTTTGTAAATCACTCACATTTCCGTGGAATTAAGGTTTGACTGTCTAACTCAATTTTTGCTCATTCTATCAACGGGATCATTGTTTTGTCGCATTCTATTACTCCTTAGCAGCAAATATCAATAATTCATAGAATCATACTTATCTTCAACTCGCTTTTTCATTACTTATTGCTTTTAAATGTTGGATCTATTTTCAAGTAATTTCCACAATGTATACTTTTATTGTTTCTCTTTATTATGTGTGTCCACAATTGTCTTCGTAATTACCCATTTGTTTATGAGAAGTTGATAAATCGGGCTTAACGATAATATATCTAGATGAAATGTTAAATTTTATTACCATTTACTTCGCAACACAAAATACTCACAAATTTCACAATATATGGAACTGTCTAAACAGTGATAGTGTCGAAAAATTTTGTTACAGAAGAATAAATATGTTGGTTGTTTAACAAGTACGGGTTGATATACTCAGCTTTGTTGTATATTGATTAGTTGAAGTATGGTGATACTACATGGTTGTCCAAGTGAAATGAAGTAGAGCGGAGTTTGTGTACACGATCTGTTTTTTGGTAGTTGGATGATTTGATCACCGCTAAATGTCAATAATACTCATTAATCTTTTGCTGTACATCATATGTGACTAACCCAAATGAACAGTCTATGTTTTTTCATCACTCATCACATAGGAATACGTGTTATAGGTAAAATAGACTAATATACTCCAATGACTGCAAAGCATGAGTTTTGTTTTCTTTTCATTCTCATTTCATATTTCTTTGGTAATTGTATTTGTTGTACCTATTTATTCTCTGCATATTTCCCTTTTGTGTATGTATATTTTTTCATGTTATTAGCATCTTCTGAAAAGCGTTTATTGGATTTGTTCGCTTCACCGTCCTTATCCTCCTCTTCGTCATCAGCATCATATGTTTCCTCTTATTCTTCTCCCTTAACTTCCAGTGATAATGATCACATAGGCGAGATCAATAATAATCATAATGAACCTTTTATTTTTCGTCTGGGAACAGGTTGTCACCCTAAGCATCTATCGAACTGTTCATATTTAGATGCCCAACAATTACCGGAACTATGGCATTCTACGCTGATTGGTTTAAACAAGTTATTTTCATCTGTTCGAAATTGTAAGTATATATTAAAGATTTATGAATATCCATCTAGGCAATCTGTTTATCTGTTATAAATATTAGTATGTTTAAATTAGCGGTTTAATGATTAAAACCCTTGACTTTCAACCGTTGGTTTGGGATTTCGAATACTGCTTCATTTACTTCTATCTACATTAGTAGGTAATATCACGAGCTGTTATGCATAAAATGGGCTTAAAACCGATCCACTTTGTAGTCATTGATTTATATGTATTTGAATGATTCTCAAATTTCTTTATTTTCCTGGTGATTATAATCCTTTATGTAAGCTTATTTCGATCGATGGCAATTACACATGTTAGGAATGTGTACCATGGAAACCGATACAATTATATATATAGTTTCCACTTCTCCTAAATTGAATGTGCTCATCTTTTAACTGAACTATTCAAGTAAAATTAAAGAACACTGGTTGAATTCAAATGAATGGTAAACTATATTTAATAATTAACCAGGAAACTTACACCTGTATTCGCTATGGCTCTGAACAATCTTAATGTATGAGTTGTTAATGGCTGTTTAACATAATTATCAACCTCCTATCTGTAAAAAATTTGGAAATCAAAAACACATGTTTTTCTCCAATTGGGAAGAAATGTTACTAGTCAGTTCACTTCTTTTCATGACTGCTATTCTTTGAATTTATCAGTGTAATGGATAAAACATACGTCCACAGTTTCACTCAATGTGCGTTTTTTCTCGGCAACTCGCTTAACTTTAGTTACTTGAAGATCATTATCTTAGTATGGAATCAATGGATTTTAGTTAACAGTGGCACTCAGTATGAGCATTTTGTCCTATTCAAGATTCGTCAGCTAACTGTATCTGTATTGAAGTACTGATGTTCACATTGAAGTTCAAACTCAGCACCTTTCACATTAAACCCTAATACCATTATTCACTGAACTACTGAATTTAGATAGCAATGAACTTGTTCAGCGTGTATGTTGTTTTTATCATTATCAGTAAAGGTTAGTCACAACTCATATGTGTTATAAAACTTACGACAAAATGGCTATATCGAGAAAATTCGTTCAGTATTATTGACATATGTCAACTATGACTAATCAGAAGTCAGTCCTGAATATCCGTGCTACTAATATCCAACGTTCATCAATATAATAATGTAATATATACATTTTTTAAAACTATCTCTTATCTTTAATTTTATATCTCTATGTAAGTGGTATCTTATGATTGCCTAATTCTGTAGCATTTTGTTAATACTTTATGCGTACATTATCGTAAATTGGGTATCTTCAAACACCATTCAATTGTTTAGTAGTTAATAAAATTATTGATTTCATGAAAATTTATTGTCAATTTTCTGTCATTTTAAGACGTTCTAATCATGTGAGTAAGAGTATGGTAGTTTCATTATAAGAACAATGCACAAACTAACACTGTTCAATTTTGTCAGTTAGTTGTTGTTCTTTTTATTTCTCATATGTATAGACACTTATGTTTCTTCTAAATTCTTAATCTTCACGTTTATATTTCTTGCATAAAAAACTTCAATTAAGTCATTTAATTCTTTTTTACTCCAATATTCAGCTTTCACCTTTATTGATTACATTAAGATGAAATAGAATCTTACTTTTATTAACTGGCAACTCATGGAGTCAACCAAATCACAGTTAGTAAAGAGAACCAATAACGATAGCATTCTTGACCTCAATATACAATACATTAATATATATATATATATATATATATATATATATATATATATATATATATATACTAGTAACTAGATTTCATCTCATTAACGACATAATTAAGTTTCAGTATACAGGTTATAGAGGCTGTTGAACTCTTGTTATCACGAACCAATCTAAGTTAGATAACCATTAAAAACCTGGGAGCACTGTACAGTTGCTTCATCATAGTATGTGACTCCTCAGCAGTGCGCATTGACGACCCTACCATTTCAGGATTGAAACCAGGACCCTCGGTCTCGTACGCGAACCTCCAACCTGTAGACCACTGAGTTACCATTCAAAAGTGTTAATGCCTAATTTAAAACAATCTGCGATATTACGCGACTATCTTCCATTGTCTTCAAAGGATGCCTTCCTCACACCCGACACGGTTGAACTCTACTAGTCACGCTCCTTACTAGAGCTCGAGTTTGGGGAAAGGATCGTAGACACACAATGCTGAGAAATCACAAATTATGACGAAACAGCCATTCAGTGCTGTCACGTGTTCATTAGTTTTCTAACTTTGATAGATTTTTGATCTCAATAAATACACAACTAAGTGTTTTTCATGACTTTCTAAATTCATTAAAATTAAGTCACGACTGGAGTTAATTGTTAAACTGTTTGTCATGAACAGCACAATATCTTGAGTAAATTGAAGCTGAAAAAATACGGATCATTGAATAAAAACCCAGTAGTGTAAAAGTGACATGATCACAACAAAGCTTCATTATCTTGGATTTTTGTTCCTAACAGTATTGTAGGTTGATGCTACTGCTGAAGATGAACTAGTCATCTAATGTTCCCTGATTTTTATGATCTTCTAGCTATAACTAACTCTCGTAGTGTAAATCATTGGATATTTAGTTTTATTTTCATTTCTATAAATATTATTTTAACAGTCATTAAAGTAGATTATGGATTACTTTAAATCCTTTCAGTTTTTCTCTTTAAATCATATCAATGCCTGATCTTTTATACGGCTGCTGATATTGTTACTACTTGTGCTATTCTTGTCTTGGTAATATTAACGCACTGTGTTGATATAGTGTGACAAGTTCAACGAATGTAAATATGTATCAAGTTCTGTGTTGCATTCGACTAACTGACTGTAATTTTTTTAGATGTCTATCTTATCAGGAATCTTAATTTTGTACATTATTTTAGTATCATTCTGTGGTCAAATTTGATTGAGTCCGGTCCACTAACATCAGATTTGGTAACTCGTTTAGTTGAACATCGTCATTGGGTTCCAGTTGCAAGTTCACAAATTATTTTGCAACCTGCTATGTATTTTTTTCAACAGTCCAATAAATCTAACAACGATGGTTTAAACAGTAGTAATAGTAGTAAATGGTTGTCCGTGAAAATCGATTCTTCAACTGGTCGTTTTTGTGAGCTTATTCCTCCAGGTAGTTTCTTTTTTCTTTTTCTTTCTGGTTACTTAACATGAACTTAGATGCAATCAGTTGTATATAATTTCTAGAGTTTTGTACAGTGATGAAATTATAGGACCTGGAACAACTGTGCATTTTATTAATTTTTAAAATTTCATTTAAACACATAAACATTGATAAAAAGGAGCAACAAAATGTATATACTCTACATAATAAAAATCAGATTGTAAAGGGATAGAAAAGTGAAGATGAGTATAATAAAAAAAGAACAGAATGAATGGAAATGAGTGTATGAAAGTGGAATAATAATAGTACTAATAATGATAATAATAATAATAGTCTTAGAAGCAGCAGTTCAGTTAACAAGAATATAATCAAAATAGAATCTTTCAGTTACAAATGTTCCTTTCACTTATATGAACAAATTAAAAGTAAGTTACAGCACGACCACCACTAACTTCTCTTCTTAACCATGTCTGATAGATAACCTCTCAAGTCACAATGTCGCACCACTTCTAGAACACCAACTAGGGAGTTATGAAGAGCTGACAGATCCCAGTCCTGTACAAATTTATTTCATGTCACGACAAAATCGTATACATTAACCACCTCTCTGCTTTTTACAACTAGTTCCGGAATCCGGAAATTATGCATGATGTAGAGTTCGCTAGAACAACATTTGCAGAGCATGTCCAAACCACCGAAATTGGGGTTTCAAGATGGCAACATCAATTAAATTATTGTCGATATGCCTAAACACACACGTCGAAAAAGCTTTGCATTACTAGCATGTTGTTGCCATTGAATGAATGTCAGCCACCTGTCGGAGACAACGATGATCAAACACGGAGAGTCGCTTAACATTCTCAACTCAGAATGTTCAGGTTTCACAACCATAGAGCAAAACTACTCGCATCGACGCGTTGAAGTGTAGATCCGACCTCTTGCGGCCAGACTAACATCACGAAGGCACCGAAGATGGTCTAGATTGGCATAAGGCACTCTGACATTCATTATACTTGAATCGCTCTCACCACTCATTCCACTACTACCACCACTTACAGAGCTATACATAGAAGATGCAAAGTACATGCCATATCTATGGACACGAATCGTCATCTGATTGAGTACGGATAGCATTTTTAGGTATTATCGCACAGTGAGGTCTGAAAGTCTTTCTCCAAGTAACACTTTCACTACACACATTCATCAAAGCTGTTTCCAGAACGTCATTGATGTCAACCTTGAAGAGGAATCAACAAGCCTAATTTGATACACTTTTCATCAGCACAACCAGTCAAAGTTAAGGTTACGAAATATTTAGGGGCGAAAATACTAATGTCAGTGGAAACTTCAAAATAAAATGTATAAAAAGAAATAATAAATAATGAGCACAATGTATACTTTGAAATTAATGACTACATATTTAATAAAACTCAAGTACTTAAGTTTTTCCCACTGTAATTAATTATTACTCTCACTTCGTTCGATTTGGTCCCATCAGTTCACGTACCGTCTTGTCGATAGGTTTTGTTGTTCGAGGATAAATTGAAATTCACGTGTTATCATAAATGCCAAAATGTTTCCACTAGGCTACTGAGTTACGATATCCACACCACATTGATTGTAAGCTTTTAATTTGTCGTTTAAAGACCAGTTAGTTATTGAAGAGAATAATTACATGGTATATTATGAGGACTGAGTAATTTGTCTGTTCACCATATCCTGATAATTATTTTAGGCACATATCTTATGTTCGCTGCAGCTGGACCAGAAAATTCCACTTTTGATGTTGCTTATGAGCAGGTGGCTATGGCTCTTTCATTTCATGTCGATCGTTTTAACGGAAGATCACATATTCGTCTTGAAAGAGAATGAATGAAATTAACTTTAACGGTCCGGATGAATCTATGATCACATGCGTAATCATACTGTTGAATCGTCACATTCTTCATGCGGTAAAATGTTTCGATTGGTCACTCGCGCTTAGTAAGTAAATACATTCAGTGAATGATATATTTCGACAAAATTATATATGTATTCATTATTCATCCGAAGCTGAAAAACCTATTTCTCACTTGGTAATTTTTGTACCTTGATCGACTAACTTTAAATATTTGTTTTATTTGAAAATAATTTTCTTTACGAACTGAATTTAAACTAGAGAACTATTAAGGACTAGGGAACACTGAAAAACTCGTCCTATTCCTGAATTTTCCATTAGTATCCACCCATTATCATCCTATCAGTAATCGAACCCATAAATTTTATGCATTACGCTAAAAGCGTTAATTTTGAACTTTTTGGTGAGAATTTGATGGCTCACAGAGGGAGGGAAAGAGTGAGAGAGAGCAAGAAAGATGTTATATCTACAAATGACTTGATTAATTCCACGCGTTACGGTTTCTCGTTAAATCTTTGGGAGACCTTGAACTAACGTTACTCAAAATGTGATCCTGTGCTGATATTACATATTTTTTCGTTTGTGTTTCTATTCCAGCGGTACTCAGTATCCTTGATTCTTCTCTATCTTATGCATTCCTCTTGCAGTATTCTCATTGTTTATATTTTGATCATAATTGATATCATTTATAAAAGCCTTCGTCTAAATTTGATTGAATAGTTTCATAGTATTTCGGCACCAAGTTGATGTGAGACATTGAAGAGGAAGAATGTATTTGTAAATGAATGTTTGTGTTGTTTTTATTGTTCCAGTTAATTGTTTAACATATTCAGACAACTGATCAGAACCGTTGAATATAGTTGCTGTTATTCAGATAATAAGAGATAGATAAAATGGAAAAAGGATACATTGAAATTCATGTGTCAGTCCAAATGCAAAAATGTTCTGCACTAGGCTACTGAGTTACAATATCCTCAATGTATGCCCTATCCACTTACAACATCTTTTCCTAATTACCTCTTCATTCGGAAGCTGGTTTGTTCTCTTCCACAGTAGGCTGTTGCTGATGGTATTCGGCCAACGGACATTGGGTATCTTGCATAGACAATTGTTTATAAATGCTTGTACTTTTTTTTATGATGGTTGTGATAGTTCTCGAATTTTCACCTCCATACAGTCGAACTGTGTTGACGTTGATATTAAAGCTTTTCACTTTGATATTGGTTGACAGTTGTTTTGAGTTCCATATCCCTTAGTTCGCCAATCTTTGCCTGTACGTTCGTGTTTAAATAGAAGTATTACTTTATTGTTAACATATAATTCTATCTCATTAACAACGTAATTAAAAACTCTTAATTAAATTCAATACATTGTTTGATTGTACACTATTTTAATGTACTCGCTTAAAGTAGTTATAATAATTGAATGAATTCATGGTTTATTAATATTTTATTAGAATAATTTCACTTCAGTAAAACGATGCAGCTGGCTGAGTTAAAGTGTTTTATGTTTTCAATGTCATGACTTAAAAATACTCACAAGTATCACGTGACGAAAACACTAATCGGAAAGAGCCTCATCACTAATAACCTTGAACTAACACTAAGTCCTTATTGGTCTTTGATTCGGCAGCTTCTCTCCCTCCTTTGCCCATTGAGTCTAGAACACAGTAATCAGCCTCCATTATAACATTATAGGTAAAAGTACAATATGCTGACGGCCTTGAATTAACCAATCAGAGTTAAGATGACCCCTCAATTATTTTGAGCAAAGTTTGAATTGCAGTGATAAATAACATGTATGTTACTCTTAATCAACTCAAAATTGGCAATATTTGGTTCTGAAAATGTTTGAAATCGATGGAAATATCTATTATACAACGATAAAGTAAAATTGGATGGTGCTTAAGCTGATTTACATGACCTACTTGCTTCTAAGGCAGATCGTGTATGCTTAGTGTCACTCATTTCGTAATCATGTGTTTATTGAAGCTAGATAACACACTCTTTCTTATGTACAATTTAGTAGCATAAAATAAATGTTCCAGAATGTTGTGGCCGATTTGTAGGTTACTTATTCTTTAACTAGTTAGAACCTAAATGTTAGACTTAATTCTTGAACATCGTATCAGTCAGATAAATCAACCCATTGTTAAAGACATATTTATTTACTTAATATGTGAGTTATCTCAATTTAAATAAATATTAACTCACTGAACCCAATAAGTAGACGAATATTAGGCGATTTCAGTGTGCTAAAGATCAAATTGTATGATAGTTTAAGTGGTTTACTGATACATTGATTTCAACATCTAATTCATGACTGGTATCACTTCATAGCCTATTACATGGACTGGTTTAATGATATTGCTATATTGTATTCGTGTAGCATATGAGATATTGTACATCGAACCATTACGTTTGAAGTTTTGTGATGTTAATAGGATGTATCCGAAGTTGAATTTTGTTTGATTCATGTTGTTATTTGGTGTAAGTAACCTCCTTGAATAGTTTATTCTTTTTTTCGAACGAATCTGTGTAAATGACTAAATATCGTCATATTTTAATGTTAGCTTGATTACGATAGTGTGGTGTATTTTTATGACAGAAATGATTAATTCTATTCATATAATCCAGAAGAATCACGGTATAATATTAAGGGAAGGCATAATTGTGTCTTTTGTTTATTCGTGTTGTTCATTGTAATGCCATTTAATTTTATCAACCTAATAGATTATATTAGATAAATACTATCCGATAACATGCAGAACTATAAACTCTATGATACAATGATACATGTTTTATTTACTTCCTCTCATTGTGTAATTCTATTTTTAGGGTAAACCTATTTATGCATTTAAAATTGGTCCAAAATACACAACTTTAGAATTCAATACTGATAATTTAAAAACATCTACAACTACTAATCCAAATACTATGATAGACTCTGAATTCCTTTTTGATGTGACCAATGATACATATCTTTCAAATAATTCAATGAAATATATACCAAAAATAGCTGTTATTGGTAATCTACATGGTCATGATCGACTAACACCTCAATTATTAATTCATTTTTTAAATTTTTTATGTGATAATCGTAATAGTCAATTAGCTGTACATAGTTTACTTAATTCTGCTATAATTACTATTATTCCAATACCAAATCCTGATGGTTTGTATAAAGCATGGAAAGATTATTCAATGCTATCATTATCTACTTGGGAAACAGGTGAAGCGTTATCATTTGATAGAGATTATTGTCATCATATTGAAAGGTATATAATTTTATCATTATATATATATTCCTTTCTATGTTTGTGAACAAGCGTCTCAGTCTAAATAATTTGGAAAAATTCTTTTAGTTCAATATCATTATATTTGAGTAGATGATTGATGCGACGCTAAGTTGATTGATGTGCTCGCATCGAAAAATTACTCATCAACATAAACTCTATATCCCAACTTGTTAAATCATTGTAAATTATTTGTTCGCCTACAGTATATTTCATAATTCCGAATAATTAGGATTTTTCTAATACAGATGGTAAATAATGCAAACTCAACAATACACCAGTTGATATACACGTTGTTTAAACAATTATCTTGAAGTGGTGGAACCCCTGGAGAAATATATGAGTTCAGAAAAAGTTTAGTTTTCAGCAAAAACAGTGAAATCAAAATTGAAATGTGAAATAACTCTGTATGTGTAGTAATAGTCAATGGCCTCGAGAAACAAAAAAACCTCAGCAAATTAAAGGTGTCTAATCATATAACATCAAAGATCATTCAAGGGCTCCCACATGGATTTTGGCATGAAACCCACTCATGCATTAGACTCATTATTATTATCATTATTATTATTATTATTATATTTTGGGAACATCTAGTGAACAGTGCCTAGGCTAAACATGAAGCACTAGATAAAGGTAACTAATCGATTGATGAGGTTGTAAACCATCAATAGAGGTATTTTAGATATTTGTTACGTATACCTAACCACTGACTACCTCAATGGCTGATGTTGTGTGGTGTATGAGTAGGTGGGAAGAAATCTAATCGCGACCATACCAGGACACAGCGTCCGTCCATGAAAATATTGATCACTGTGTGGTGTGCTACTTATATAGATATAAGTAGTATATGACGTTAGGAACAGAATGTCTGGCAGCAGTGACACAGTAAAGAATGGAAACAGATTGCAATTTGCATGAAAATGCAAGAACAATAAAGTCTGAGTCATTTTAAGACAATTGATGGACATTTTGCAAATTAAGCATTTACTTTATGGTTCTCAGATTTTATTGAGATGCTCTATAAATTTGTGTTTAAATACATTCGATTGTCCCCACCGGTGTTCTTGTTCACTACAATTGGACTGAGGCACGTAAGTAGGTTCAGACTAAATGGTTGAGGTTCAAGTGGTTATTGTAACCAGTGTGTTATAACTTGTCGTTAGAGACTTTGGATGACGTGGTCAAAATCGTTCACAATGAGTTAGATGCATTCACTCCTTTTCTTCCTTTGGATCCCGTCCTTTTAAATTACCTTATACTTTTTTTAAGATCTTCCCTACTACTACCGATACTTTTACAACGCCTACTACTCTGGAATTTGTTCTGAAATGATTTCATCTCGCCGTTCTAATGAAGTGTAGCAATTTGAACCAATGCACGTGTGTTAGGTTCTATGATGAGTAGAAAGGACTGAGTAGTGAAATCTCTGGCTTAGTTTTACATGATATCATTCTGTGCATCTTATTCACTCACCAAATACTGATCACTTTTTTATAGCAGCTAGTAGTATAAATTACCTGGGCACACAAAAATAGTGCTAGTTTGGTGAATGCCTTTTATCTGTTTAATGAAAATATCAAGGCAGCACGCTACCATGTAAATCCTGGACTATTCATTTCAAGAAGATAATAGAATTGCTATAATTTGACATTCATTGGAATTCTCCAGGAAAAAAAGCACCATAAATTCTTATTCTAGAATGTCAATGCTTTAAATCATACTACTGATTCTCACACAATTTCTATTAATATCATAATCGCTATCACCAGTATCAACAAATAAATTACGTAGTGTTTCTTCACTTTTTTTAAATCTTCCTAACTTGAATAGAAAGTAAAGGCTGGAATACTATCCAGGTACCCAAACTGAAGCAGGTGGTTTTTAGTAAGCTACTTCCCGAGCATTTGACGTAGAGGCCTAATCCAGAAGACAAGGGAGCAACGTTAGGAGATGCAGTCTTACGGTAGCTGGTGATCAACAATATGTCTACGTGTCATTTTCCCTTTAGGATCCTGGAGCCCATGTGCACCAACTCCGCTAGGTGGGTCCTCCATATCCACCAACCCGGTTAAGGCGCCGAACATTCGCTCTTCGTCCTCTTAATTTCGTAAACAACACCATGAAAAAGCAGTCAGTAGGACTTCCCTGACACTACTATATAGGTCTGGCCATGTGAGAGCGTTTCGAGAGGAAGAGCGGATTGTCCCTACCCCCGACTCTCCCATTGATTATAACTAACTAACTAACTACGCCATGTTGTTGATCGTTTATATCTTGATTTCATCAAAAATACATTTAAATGTTATAATTAAGTTATCGTATAGTTACTGATAATTGTTTTCTTTGTTGAATCTCATTTGATTGTTTTTATTTATTTGCGTTTATTGTCAATCTTGTCAAGCTCTTCCAGTAGCAGTAGAAAATTATTGACTGGTTATACGAATGAAGCTGGCATAGATTTATGGGAACAATTGATTAGTAAGTGTATCGTTAATGATCGTACATAACTGACCATTTTTGTACTCATTGTAATAATTGCAAATTAAAATATTTATATCATTAAAAATGATGAAATTATTCACTGTTCAAGCTGAACGACTTGGCGTGTAAAATTTTAAAAGTTGATTTATTATTTCATTTCTTGTGGTTAATTTTAGCTAATTAGATTTTTCGAGTATGATTTTTCCTGATTTAAGATGGTGGTTGGAGTTAGTTTACAGGATACCCTGCACGATCTAGATTCCGTGCTATTTGACACTCATCAGCAGGACTTACCCGACACTATGCCACCTAGTTTCACTAACTGATATGTTGCCACTGATTTATTCGGGCCGTGACTGAACTTCGGTAGGACTGAGATATATTTACAATTGGTTGATCATTGAGTAATGACCACTGCCATTTATGTGGCAACGTCTCTGATTGTGAAGCTGGGTGACCCTGAATCGAATCCGTCATGGAGCATCAGTTCTCTTGAGATTTACAGGTATACCTTGTTGACGAGCTTCTGACAGTACGAAACCTTGGTTCAGGGTTTCCTGTCGACTACCTCCAACCACCACCTAACATCTCAACATAGGGGGACTGAATGTTGAGTTAGCTGAACTAGTGACCATACCGGAACTCGATCGGTAGAATTCAATCAGCACTAAAAAAGACATGAAATATGTGACATTAGTGACCACTCAGTGACCAAGTAATTGTAAATCATTTTCCAGATTTCCATTTGATTAGATTTCAGTATCAGAGGCAAAATTACTCTGATGTTTTACAATTTAAATTTATCAATCAAACTATGTGAAGTTATTTTTAGTGACTGAGCGATAAACATAAAAAACTGCTTGATAGAAGTTGACCGTAATTCCTTTAAAAATTCTTCAGGAATGAGAAAAAATATCTAAAATCGTTTGGTTCATCAAGGTTGTTTGTAAACTGAGTAAAGTTCAGAAAATGACTCAATTTTACTTTGTTAAACCTAATTGGACCACTGTCAACATTTTGAAGATCACTCTTGACATCTTTTCTCGATGATTATAGGATCTCAAGGTCATCTCTGATATTACCCTTGCTTTCTATATATAGTTAGTTTTTCAAAATAAGGTTTCTTCTATATTTCCCACCTTGTTTTCTGTTCATTGTCCAACAGTCAAAGGTTTTGAGAAACCAAGAATTCTTTATTGATTCAGTGTCTAGAACGTTCGGTGCACACGATGTATGACTGCTAACTATTAGTTGGATTATAACTCCGTAGTTTATGCACTTGATTATCAGTTTGGTCTACATATCTCTAGTGGTCACTGAGGTTAGCGACTTCACAACATACGTGATTGTTTAAGTTCTATTAGCATCAATGAACTAGACTACATGAAGTTGGTCAATATAATGTGGTTATTCGACGTTTTATCGATTCCATTTGTAAAAATGTAATCGATAAAGTATAGTTTGTTAAGGAACTTTGTTATCAGACGTTTTACGTTCTACTATTACATTGTATGGTTCTGTAACCTTAACTCAGTAGGGGTCTATCGCATTCTATGATATATTTTAATCTAATCTTTTATGAATCCCTGCGATTATTTGTAACCTGTTCCAGATGGATTATTGACAATGAATTTTAATCTATTTGAAACTCAAACGTTGTATATAAACACAGGATGTGAAATAAATGAGTGTCTAATTTGACATACATCAATGCTGTGATCATAAAAGAAGGAGAATTAAATAGATGCCAACAACATCTTTGTCGATATAAATTAGAACAATTATAGAACCTTAAAGAAAAAACAAGAAATTAATTGGTCCATCCAAAAGCAACCAATTTTGAAATTAATATCATCGATTGTTCAGTTGTTGTTCATCCTTCAAATGTTCCGACAGTAATCCTTTTACCACCCTATACAGCTCACTAACTTTATGTATTAATATTAGATCTTGTCTAACTCATCCTTAACCATTAAAAAAAAAACTAATTTAGCGTCTAACGAGCATAGCAATATGGAGAGTAGTAGTTATGGTACATATCTAGATTTATGTAACATGAATTGTAATGATTTTAGTGAACCAAAACTTTAACTGTTAAATTCACTCAAGTTTTCAGATCAAACGAACACTTGTACACAAATAAGAGAAGTGATCTTAGCTTTCAATCGCTTCAGAGTTAAACTTTATATTTCCTCATTCCTGTTATTTGTCTTCGATTTTTTTAAAGGGTTTATATATATAATCAATTTTAGAGAGGAATACTAATAGTAGTTTCAGTATTGCCGTTAAACAGTGTTTTATGTTGTTTATTCAAGGTTTAACCGGAAGTAATTTAACAGCTAGTCATCATTGGTGGTGGGAATCAAAATCGAAATTAGAGTTTGCTTACAAATCACTTGAACCAGAGAATATAGCTCTTCTTAAATGGTTACAGTTGTACCAAGCAAATTCCATCATAAGTTTTCCAACTGACCAACTATCTGATATTAATTATGATACAGGTAAGTTATCTAGTTTCAGAATCTTTTTGAAATATGTGTAGTGATTGCCCTGATACATTTACTAAAGCTATTTATTTATTTGATTTTGAAAGCTTATCACTTTTGGTCGACAATTTACTAGGCATATACATGTAGACCTTCTGATCTGTTTTTATTTAGAACTTAATGTCTTATCCGAAACGTATCAACTGAATATATCGTCGTTTGATGCATTTTTCTTATATGTTTGTATTATCTTTCATAGAGAATGATTGACTAATTCTTGAAAATTTTCACAGAAAATTATGAATGGATGGCTTGGTGCTTAAAACTTGACTTTCAACTACTCCGTCTTAGGTTTAAACCAAGCTTTATCTGCTTCGGTTTGGATAGCTAGGTACTTTGACGAATCCTTAAGCTAAATGAGTGCATAAACGTATATTTAATAAATGAGTTACATGTAATAAGATCGGTAGAAAGTGTTGGTTTCTTTCATTTTAGTAATCTTCAATAAGTATGTATGTCGGAAGTTCCTGCTTCTCTAAAAATCTATGCTTTACCGTGTAATACTGTGGTTAACAATACAACTTCAAAGTCTGTGAATAGTCAGTTGGTTCTCCATTAGAACATGTCTTGTCATTATGTATTGAATAGTCTCATAATACTATCTTTAATAATGACGTTTTTTGTATTTTTGTGGGTCCAAAATTTGATTTTAAAGTTTTCCTGTTCACTTTTTTATTCAGTCAGTGAATATTATTGTTATGCTCGTCATTCAATCCTAATCGTTATAGAGTTCGGCACGAAAATATATGTTAGCTGAAGTGGTCATACCACATTCTCACGATGGGATGAATACTTCGGCGTGTATTCGTTACGACTAGTATGATCACTTGTATAAGTGTATACATATATAAACTAAATAGATTGATGGCGACCTCTAAAACGCTAGTACGTGTTTTTATCTCTGTGACAGTATGAGTTTGATTGGGTTTATTTGATACTTTTCACTTATGAATAATAACAATGAAATTAGATCAATTCAAGTTTCCTATTGATCATATCCATATGTTGAGCTGTAATGATCTCATTGATCAACTATAATTCTTAGTATTAAAATTGTACCCACTGGTTTATTTTAGATCCTACTGAATCTGCTTATGGTCGTGATCTTTTATCGGAAAGTTATAATTGGCTACGATTTCTTGGTAAACTACTCTCTCCTAGCTTTCATCGTCCATCTGCCATGTGTACACTAATTCATTCAATATCTTCAGAAACATTTCCAAAAATTTCTGATCGACGTCGTAGACCCAGTGATTTTCGTATCCAATATGTTAATCCAAAAAAATCCATAAATAAATTTGCTAAATCAGCTGCCCTATCACTTGGTTTAATTTCTATGAATCCAAAATTAGCTTTAGAAGAAACTGAACATTTTCAATTACAGTCAAGTTTATCATTTTCACCACCATTACCAATCATGATACCATCAAGTATTGGTTTGACACTTTGTCCGGGTTGTTTTTCTCCTAGTCCATCAGGTGTTGCACGTATATGGGCAGATTATAGATTTCCAAGTTTAATGGCTGGTTTAATTGAGCATACTAGTTTAATTGGACTAGGAAGTTTAGGATTGATAGGTCATGTTCGTGTAAGTCTGTTATTACATTGATAAGTTATTGAATTTATATTTCAGTTTGCAGTATTTTTCTCTTTATTGAAATATGGAAGTACCATTTTTTCCCTTCGAGTTTATTTATATATTTAATTCTTGTAAAAGAATGATCTAGCGATGGAATAGTTCCAACCTTTGTTGCTTGCGTAATTTATATATGGAAAGTAACAAATGTCTTAGGTTCGACCTATAGTGAGGTTTTGAATACTCACTGAAGAGGAGTTCCATATCAGCACAAAATAACTATACAACAACTTCGTGATTTCAAATTGGTGGTCTAGTTCAAGTTATTTCATGATGTAAACCATAAAATGCAACAATCTCCATAAAAACCGTATACACTAATAATTAAAATGCTGCCTATAATTCATATAAATTATGTTTAATGACGAATCAGTCCACTGAGTTCGATAGTCATATGGATGCTATTCAATAACTTTTAGCATGATTCTAGTCGAATCCACTCCCAATGTCTGAAATAAATGATAACTCCACTCTGTTGATATTGAATTTAATGATGCGATTTTATAAACCGGATGCCTGTTTTCTTCTTCAAATAGTTCTAGCGTGGTGCTAGCCTGTAAGCTACTGAAATATCGTGGATTTGAGTCATGTTAATAACTGACAGATTGTTGTATTCTAGTTTGATTTTTGCCAAACAAATACTTATCTATTCATTCAACAAAATGACTACTTACGTTGAGTTTAGGAACAGGTAGTTAATCACAAATTTCTGTATACTTCAATAGTATAAAACAGTTACATTATATAATTTATTTGTTTGTCAACTGATGGAATAGGATTTACGTAGATCATATTTCACTCTTAAGTCAATGTTGTTCACTCGCTTAAAGCTTAAAAGTCTCTCTCTATGGCAGTGAACTACTTCATTATCATGCATATTATTCGAATATACCATAAGATTAGTAGAAAGACAATTTTTATTTTAAGGAATGTAGTACCGCATTTGAAGTGATAGCTGCATGTTTCAATACCTAATTTGGATTACTTATATCCTTAGGCTTTTGAAGTTGTTAGAGAATTTTTCATCATCACATCTATCTTTCGAACAAAATTGTAGGTATATCCAAATAGCTTTGTAAAATCCCAACTATCCTTTTCTATAATTAGACGCATTGGAGTAAAAAGGGTTAAGATGTTTTCGTTCATGTAGCAGTAGCATAGATTAAGGGCCCATGATTCTTAGAATAGTGTTCAATCTTTCTCCTTGTAGGACGTAACACTTAGTGTAAAATTCTTATTTTTAAATGTAAATATGTTACATATGAGTGACGATTGAAATTCTAACGTACTAGCACTGATAGGCTTCCGTGTAACAAAACTCCAATTTTAAACTTTGTGAAAAATTATTTAACATTAGTATAAATGTGTTGGGATATTCGGGAAAATGTCCTAAAAATTATTCTGTTAAGTCTAACGCTATCCTTGAACTTGAAATGTTGTTTTCTTATTGGTCAATATTTATTTCACGTGTCGTTTTCCTACTGGTCAATATTGTACAATGTTATTTTCTATTTTATGGTTCGATGTGGTCTGCTTGGTTGGTATATAAACAGAGTATGTTTGAAATATAATGATTCATATCTCCGAGGCTGAGACTTGCGTTCTGACTCAACTGGCTGGGCTAGACAGGGAAGCGGGACCAATCAGAACCCTAGGTCGTTCTTACGTGTGTGCGCGTCTTTGGTCCGATCGATAATTCACTGTCCTCTAACCTGCCGTCACAGTTATAGCAAAATGATTTGTAGATATTTCAGAGTTTTCAAAGTTTATGTCACGAAATGATCTTATCTAGACCAACATTAAAAGCCTGGAAGAGTTGTAAGGACGTTTGATTGTAGTATGGGACTGCTCAACAGTTGGCATCTACGATTCTGCACGCAAGATTCAAATACTGGACCTTCGGTCACGCGCTCGAACGTTTGACCTATAGATCACTGAGCTGGCACCTAACTCCGTTAGTTTATAACTTCAATCAGTTTAGGACAGAGGTTAATTTCTCGCGCGTAAGACTGAAGGTCCTGGCTTAGATCCTCATTCAAGGTCGTAGATCCTCACCGCTAAGCTATCCCATACTAAGACAAAGCGTTTGTCCAACGCTTTCAGGTTTGCAATGGTGGTCTAACTGAAAACAGTTCGTGATTTAGGCTTTGATAATATTTATCTGTCGAGGTTTTTTAAAAAAATAGTCCCTGTAATGTGATTTTGATGCTTCTTTTTTTCCGAATTGTTTTCACTAGGATTCAAATGATCAACCAATACCCTGGGTTCGTATACATCTGGATTATGTTCGTAGTGAATTGTCTACTGGTTCCAGTGATCAAAATGGTCATTTTAGTATGATTTTACCGCCAGGAAAGTATCGTTTCACATTACGAGCTCGCGGTTATTTAGATCTTAGCGAAATAATCAATGTGGATATATTGAAAAGTCCTATTTATCATGTTTTTTATATGAAACATGTTGGTGGTTTATCTCCTGCCTACCGTTTATATGTAGTTAGTATGATTGGTAAGAAATCAATTCAGATTTGAGCATGTATTTTAAGTCACGTTTACCCTAAGTGGTATATGTATGTTATTATCTTTGTGTCTCTTTTTATTATACAAAATATGTTGTCGAAGAACTGAGTGAGAATAAGAAACTGTGTATGAATAGTCATGTCCTAAACACAGAGAAGTAATGAAATACTTTAGTGTGAGAAGGCTATGTGTTTATCTAGTGCTTCACAACGTTTCTAAACTCATCGTAAGAATCACATATACCAACAAAATAACTTCCGTTTGAGTTTATGTCCTTTCATTATTTGCCATAGTTTGGATCAAAATGCGAATACATGGATTTGTACATAGTTATTGACTCAAAAGAATTCGGATCATTTTCACACGAATTTACTGAAATCCTTAAGGGACTAAAAGATCACTTGAATTTTGTTAATAGACGAATAAAATAGTCTCATAGAATTTATAATAGATTTTCTCTTCAAAGCAACTGACTAATCTCCCTCAACATTCATTATAAAATTGTCAAATTAAATCCCAGAGTAGTACAGATAGCAGCAGTATTAGTCGTACTAGAAAAGATTAAACATCGAATATACAATTTGATAAGGAATATGAATTAGTGTAATAAAAAGAATTTATAAGGGGTTTATAAACTATAGATCTAAGGAAAGACAGAGTGAATGCACCTAACTCATTGTGATCGATTTTCACTATGTCATTCAAAGTCTCTAACCATTGGTTACAGTATTCACTTGAACCTCAACCACTCCTAGATTTCTTCCAACCTACTCATACATCATACAACGTCAGCCGTTGAGGTAGGCGGTGTCCTAATCTTTACCTAGTGTTCCGTGTTCAACCTGTGCACCACTCACTGGATGATGTCAAAATACACGGGCCATGCTTCAAACATGCCTATGATCGAATACTAGTAACCTATGTTACAGGGTACTAATAATCATGTACAACTTGGTTTCGTAACCTCAAATGGTATCCGGCAAGGTTGTCCACTATCTCCATTTTTGTTCGATTTTATAATAAACCTACTGCTGGAAATAACGTCCTCGTCGACTGAATTTTCAAGAATTGACCTCCTACTAGGAGGTTCACTTATCGACTTGGAATACTCAGATGACATAGCCCTGTTTGGTGAAGACGCTGATAGAATGCAGACTTTTGCGGTAGCGCTGAGCAACAATGCCGGGATGTTTAGGATGCGTTTCTCCTCTTCTAAATACAAATTGTTGCTTCAGGACTGGCCTGCGTTAACACCTGAACTAAGTATAGGGAGTGAAGTAGTTGGACTCATCGACAACTTCACTTATCTTGGACGTCTGATCAGCCCTTATAAGTTGGCGTCTGATGAAATCTCTGCGCGGATTCCAAAAGTTCTTTTGGTTTTGCGAGCTTACGTCACCTATGAAGAAGGCAAGATATCCGTTTGTCAATTAGGGGACGAGTATACTGCTCAACAGTTCACTCCGTCCTACTTTACGGCTGTGAAACATGGCTGTTAAGAGTAGAAGATACTCGTAATTTACTAATATTTGATCACAGAAATATTGCTCTCATCTGCTGGGATCACGGTTAAGTAATAATAAGGTTAGACGCAGGGTATTAGGGAATGATGGTAAATCAGTTGATGTGGTTGTGAATCTTCTACTGAGATGGTTGGACTACGTGTTACATATGCCTGGACCCGATTACCACGACGCACAATACTATCTGGTGTTGGGGATGGTTGTTAGGAAGTTAGGGGATGCCAAACCAAGACGTAGAATCAGTGCTTGGATTCACTAACTTCTGGTCTGAGCCATGTTGGTAGATTCAGACTACTTGGTTGGGGTCCACGTGACTATCGTAACCAATGGATGGAGATTCTTGGTGGCATGGCTCAGAATCAGTCACATTGGCGTAGGTGTATGCACTCTTTGTCTTTCCTTAAACCGTGAGATTAAAATTACTTCATACCTTTCTCTCTACGAACTAATTATTTCTCCTTGTATCATATCCTTATATGCAATCTTTTATATATTACTTCCATTGAAGTAACTACTTCTATGCATTTGGTGTTTATCTTGTTGTTGCAACTTGGACCGATGCATATATGTGCCTGATCCTATGTTGTAGCTGACAAACTGAAAATGAAAACATGGCTTACGGAACAACAACTTCAGAAAATACTGTGATATGTTTATCGCCATATATACGCTAAATTGTTTTGTAATTTAAGGACTAAGAAAGATTATTTAAATTAATCAAATTCTCCGTTGAACAAGAATGTGACTAAGAAGTTTATCAATATCTTGAAGACCGCATGTACGAATACCTTAGGCATAGTAAGTGCATACAACCACCTCTTTGCAGTGTTTCGTTCAAGCTGTGCGGTTAGTCAAGGTTGCCTGATCTCACCAATAGTTGTGTTGGATGTAGGTAGCGATGTTTTGGACCTGCTATTTGGAGAAAACATTTTCGACCTTGATCGTGCGGATGATATTGTCCTACTGTACGATTACACCCAAGCCATGCAATACACACCTAATTAGATGACGATTCGTGTCCATAGATATGGCATGTACTTTGCATCTTCTATGTATAGCTCTGTAAGTGGTGGTAGTAGTGGAATGAGTGATGAGAGCGATTCAAGTATAATGAATGTCAGAGTGCCTTATGCCAATCTAGACCATCTTCGGTGCCTTCGTGATGTTAGTCTGGCCGTAAGAGGTCGGATCTACACTTCAACGCGTCGATGAGAGTAGTTTTGCTCTATGGTTGTGAAGCCTGAACATTCTCAGTTGAGAATGTTAAGCGACTCTCCGTGTTTGATCATCGTTGTCTCCGACAGGTGGCTGACATCCGTTCAGTGGCAACACCACGCTAGTAATGCAAAGCTTTTTCGACGTGTGTGTTTAGGCATATCGACAATAATTTAATTGATGTTGCCATCTTGAAACACCAACTTTGGTGGTTTAGACATGCTCTGCAAATGTTGTTCTAGCGAACTCTACATGATGCATAATTTCCGGATTCCGGAACTAGTTGCAAAAAGCAGAGAGGTGGTTAATGTATAAGATTTTGTCGTGACATGAAATAAATTTGTACAGGACTGGATCTGTCGGCTCTTCATAACTCCCTGGTTGGTGTTCTAGAAGTGGTACAACATTGTGACTTGAGAGGTTATCTATCAGACATGGTTAAGAAGAGAAGTTAGTGGTGGTCGTGCTGTAACTTACTTTTAATTTGTTCATATAAGTGAAAGGAACATTTGTAACTGAAAGATTCTATTTTGATTATATTCTTGTTAAGTGAACTGCTGCTTCTAAGAATTATTATTATTATTATCATTATTAGTACTATTATTATTCCACTTTCATACACTCATTTCCATTCGTTCTGTTCTTTTTTTATTATACTCATTTATTTTTCTATCCCTTTACAATCTGATTTTTATTATGTGGGGCATATACATTTTGTTGCCTCTTTCTTGCAGCATCTATGTACTTAGATAATAACAGTAATAATCTAATTAACTATGAACAATCTATGGGTAAAGTATTAACAATCAGTTTAGTTTAATAAGTATACTCAGCAATAATACTAATCAAACATTTATTATCCCTTTAATTTCATTAGCGGAGTGATATATAGTCACTATATTAACGTTTTTATGTTACTGTCAGAAGTGTGATACTCATCGATATAGCGTACAAATTGTGTAAGTATTTTGTTTTATGAACAGATCATGGGAGATTATACCCAAATCTTGATGATTCACCTGCAAAGTAATATACATAAATTGTGTCAATGTGAAATGAGACAATTTTACTTTTGATCAAGAGATTATAATATTATAACTCGGTAATTCTACAAGTTGTATTGTATCGGCGAATCTAAAGTATAACTTATTTTATATTTTGAAGAAAAAGAGTAGATTTAGTTGAGGTTCTCACTTCCCATATATGATCTGTTAATTATCGGCTAGTAGAAAAAGAGTATCGTTCTATTACAATTCTTTAAGGCGTAATTTGTGTTTGTTTCTTTCGTGTTTTATTTTTTTATTCTTTTTGTATGATAAACAACACTTCTCAAGTGTATTTCTTCTTTTTACGTTTGTCTTGATTTACAGCTTCAATAATTGCATTATTTTCATGTGGTCTAACCATATATCTGTGTTATCGTTTCTGTTGTTACGCTCGTACACCATATGCAATTGTACGACGTTCTGTTGGTAAATCAGACAATACAACATCCTTATCATCAAACAATCAAATTAAACGTGGACCATATTCACTTCTAGCAGTAGATGATGACATCAATCATATCAGTTCTGATAACAATTCGGATAATTGCTTAGAATCCATGTTAAAACATAGAAGTGATGAAGAATACAATGCATATGAAGACAGTAATGATGATGATGATGTTGATAATATGAGTGTGGTGGACAAGGAGGATCCAGGTGATCATGAAATAGTGGAGTATGATGTTAATATTCATCAAGCTAGTAAAATAACCTCATTAATTAAAACAAAACTATTTAATAAGCATAATAAACGTGTTACTAATCGTTTACACAATAAAACTCGTAAATACATTCCAAATTTATCGAAATCACCAAACAATAATGATGCATTTGAAGAAGTACAACTTGTTTAAAAATAAACAAAAAAAAAACACAACTTACATAAATAACTCACATCGAATTGTGTTATGCATACCTCCTTATTTTAATGAATTATTGAATTCATGAAACCATTCCTTTAATTCTTGCATCTCTGTCGTGTATGTGTTCATATTGTCTAATCATCTACAAATTATAACTGATCTTTGTTGTTTTGTTTATTTAACGATTAAAAAAAAGATAATTAGTCATTCACTCATAACATTGTGATATTCTCCACGTGTTTTCTTTAAGAATACTCCTCTCTTTTTGTGCGAATCCGTTTTTAACTACTTATAAGTAGTATATATATATATATACTGCTGAAAATTATTTTGATGTCATATATTTTTTCCTCTTTTTCTCTCATATAAACATACACACATAGAATGAAACAAAAGAGGAAGTTATAATTAGTACAATTTTACTCATTTCAAATCATCTTTTGAATAAAGATTATTAACTGGTGATTTAGAAAACATTGACCATTCACCAATGAATATTCACTCATCAATTATAATCATATTCTTTTTGAGTTTTTTTTGTTTTTCTTTTTTATAGGAGAAAATATGCAGATAATAATTTACATTTTATTTTATGTTTTGAGTTTGTTCAATGTTTGTTTCCTTTCCTTATTCATTCCATTTAAGAAAGAAAAAATTATTGTCATATCTTTTGTTTAAATGAATACATTATGACATTGTGTATTCACTTTTCAACGATGTATTTTAGTTGTCATATTTTATTTTACTGATATTACCTTATCTCTATGTTTGCATTTATTGAGAAATTTTTTTAAACTAATGTCTTTCTTATACTAACTATGTATGTTTGTATGTGTGGTGTAATTTCCATTATATTACTGTTATTCAATGTTGTCAATTGAACTGGCACTGTAAGACGAATAAACAAAGGTTACAAAAAAATCACTTATCAATTATTATTGTGTTTCTTTTTTTTTCGTAATAAGCAATGAAGTTTCGAAATGTCCGGGAAAATTTGTTACTTTGTATTTTATGATAGGAAGAATTGTTTAATGAAATACTAAACGAATTGTAGTCAATCGAACTAGAAATGTTATTTATTTATTTATTTTAACACATAGATAGTGGTACAAGGAGGCACCAAATACATATGCGCCACACAAATCTCATTTGATATGTATGAGAGCTGTGATACTACTCGAGTGCACGAGACGAAGCAGGTGGTTTTCTTAGGACGCCACATCCGAAGCCTTCGACCTGAAGGTCTTATCCGCAAGGCAGGGGAGCATCGTAAGGAGATGCAGTCCCATGGTAGCCGGTGACCAACGATTGGTTCATACGCCATTTGTTCTTTCAGGATCCTAGAGTCCATGTGCACCGTTGGTTTGGAATCAGGGTTTTCCAACTCCCCTTGGTGAACTCTTCATGTCCACCAACCCAGTTAAAGCGCCAGATATTCACTTTTCATCCTCTCAATTTCGTAAACAACACTCGTTGTGCGAGAATGCAATGAGTAGGACTTCCCTGGCAGAGGTTATATACACATGACCATATGGGAGCATTTCGAGAGGGAGAGCGGACTCTCGGCCGTACCAGGGCTTATGGGGGCGAACTAGAAATGTACTCGTTGAATAAGGCTCATAAATTCGGACAAAACAAACAAGTTGTAAAAATTGAGAAATAATCGAGCATGTTTGTACCTCAGTATTACAGTTTTGGAAGTCTCGTGTTCTCTAAATAGGGTAGTTAATTCACAAACTTTCGCTTTTTTCTGAATGGCTGTTACTTACAATGTTTTTAAAGCCTAATAACTTTGTGTTATTTCCGTGTATCTTCCCATTGTTATTTAGGACTGCAATTGATCAGTCTCTTGTTGACTATGTGCATCCTGTGCGGTCTGCCTCGATATTACCCTCAGTCACAAGTATTAATAGCAGTGGTGGATGGCGGCTAGCAGTGTAATCCAGGACACGTGTTTCGTCCTATTCACGACTCGTCAACTGGATGTACCTGCATTTCCGAGTTGATGTTCACTCTGGGACTCGAACCCAGTACCGTCCGCTTCAAATGCCATCGCGTTATTCACTTAGCTACTGAACATCCAGCTGATGAGTCCCAAACAGGTCGAAACGCGCGCCCTGGATTCCACTACCAGGGACTATCCATCTTTGCTTAAAAAGCCTAATAACTTTGTTTTTATCAGCTTTTAGCCATTTGTCTAATAGGTGAGTCTTTGGTATTGAAGTGTAATTTTCCCTAAGAACGTCATTTCAAGAATCCGAATTTGTAAAAAGCTGAATTTTTGGACATGTCAGTGATTAGTAGCATACTATGACGAAAAAATAAACCTTTGAATAAAATCTCAGATAAAAATTACTCTGATGTACAAAACACACGCTCATTGAAAAGAAAAACGTTGAAATGTGTTTAATTCAACATGTCCATTGAAAGCATTAGAAATGAAAACTACACCAAATTTTGGACAGAAGACATATTCGATATAAGGACACGGATGCAAAGATATAATATGTTTTGATAATTCTGTATGAGATCAAAAAATCATTCTCATAGAATGTCTCTTAAATGCTTATGTAATTCAAATTGATAGTGAAAGTCAGTATACACACTTGACAAGAGTGAACAACCATGGGTATACATATATATCCTACTATGCTACATCCGTGTATATATTTAGGTGAGATATCTAAACTTGTTACACCTGGAACTTTTGTACAACTCGCCAATATATTGAAAAGTCATTATTCCTATTTTGTGTAGTGACATCAGTTGATGATCATTCAGAAAACGAGGTGTGGTGGTTGTATTATCATTGTGTCTGACATCTCGTGCGAGGGCACTCAACACATCAGACTGAACCAGATCTAGGAAAATCATCTCGTTGAATTGAATCGATAAAAGTAGTTTGTACTCAAGATTATTTTTTTCTTCAAAGTGTAGACTTCTCTGTAACTGTTAGTGACAAGAATTCAATGATTTGTGTAATTATTCATTTAATGAAACATGCAACCAAGATTGTATGATTTTCAATCAAAACTATGCTTCAATGTATTAAAATCACTATTTTTTTATTCTACACTGTACACTACTCGATTAAATCATGATCGTTATCTTTTTTAAATGATTAATTCAGAATAAAGTGACCAGTTTTCAAATATTATTGTCATTTAAGATATTCCACGTGATCATTGTGTCCGACGATTTAGTGAGAAAGGGAATTGCTACATTCAGTGTATAGTTGAAGACTGTTTAGATGAAATCTTCATGTCCATAATGAATATAAGTTTTTACTACTAACCTAATTTTCTGGTTTTCGCATTTATTATATTCAGGTAATAAGTCGTACTACAGTCCGATAGGTAGCTTGCTGATATGAAAAACGTTTGATTTCGATAGATTCTGGTTTCAAAATAGAAGTTGGAAGATTAAAAAGCTCTAAATAAACACAATAATCTGTGGCTGTGACAGAGCGTATCTTTTCATGATTGAAAGTGCTAGTCATCTTTAACAAGTCAAGAATCATACACTTTTCTGTTAGGATAAGACAACTTACAAACTTGAATAGATCACCTAATTTTCTTTTCGTCAAGATATTTCCGTCTTATGAATTCGTCAAAACCATGTACAAAATATTTCATTGAATTTTCAGTTATCATCTATTCACAATATTATGGTCATTACATGTTACCAAGATTATGAAGATGTTGTCATCAATCAAGCAGACATATATGTGGACATGAAGCTTGTTGAAACTCGTTGATAAAAGGCATCTGTGTTTTCGTGAAGACGTTAATTCTATATGATAAGTAGAAATGTCGATTAAGGCAAAGATCTTGAAGTTACAATTGAACCGTGCAATTATTAAGTGTGTCGAACCTTCTGATAAATGTTAATCAGCAATAAAACTAAGTGTTGATTAATTGTGAACCCTACTGCGATCTAGAGGAATTTTAACAACGTGATACCAAACACATATATATGATGATTTTCTGTTGTTCGGATAAAGTATCTATGCATCAATTGTGCTTCTGATTGGATCGAGTCATCGCAATGTTTATACGGCTTATCCATAGAAGTATGTTGAGAGTTCCATAGGCTGTTAATCACAAGCAACTAGTTGAATGAATATACTAGAATTCAATTGGTTTTTTGGTGAAATAGAATGCTGACTAGTCACGGAGGTGGTGATCAAAACTGACTTGAGTAAATTTATGATCAAAGTAGAATACTCGGTGTTTGGTGGATATCAAGTTTTTGATTCAATAGAAATTTGAATTACCATGGTCGCTCACTCTTGTCAAGTGTGTATGTGTGTATTAACTTTCACGATCACTTTGAATTGCGCAAACATTTAGAAGAGATTTTCGGTAAATAATAAATTTGTTATATCTCAATGAGTAGAAAAATTGAGTTTTCTGACGTTTCGTGACTCAATGTAAGCCACTTTTTCAGAGAATGTTCTACAAAAATGACCCTTTTATTGTATACAAAATTATCAAAACAGATAGTTTTTTCGGATCTGTTCCATGATGTTTGAAATCTTTATGTTATCGTTTATTGTACACAATCCATGGGTAATCTATCAGTGAAGGCACACGACGTATGTTAATGGTTAAAGATAAAAATATAAACATGGTCTCAATCGAATGTTACAGTTCGTCTATCAATACAAACAAAGCGTTAGTAAGTCGAAAGACCAGTTCTTTCGTTTCTCTTTCGTCTCTCTAATATTCCACAAAACCACTTTTATTCATCATACTCTAATAGCCACATATGAATCCTTGAGTAGCATTTATATATAATCAATAGACTACTCATAATTCTAGTAGAGAGACCGTTTTAAACTTAAAAGTAAGCAAACTTGAGTCTGATAATAGATATGCTTTTAATAAAATTAAAGGATTGGTTGGTAGGCTAAAAAATCTTCACTTGCTATGATACTAAGTACATCCGCATCACAATATGAGGGAATCTCGTCATAGTGAGTTGATGAATGATTACAGTTAGTTAAGATTATGATAAATTCGATTGTTTGAAACATTCCGAGGTCATTTGGGAGCTATTTATTGTAAATTATTATTAAGTTT